ACAAAAAGCGCATCTCTTCCGTCGTTTATTCCTTCGATGCCCTTTTTATAGAACGCACATCTCTCCGCAGCCAGAAAATCGATTGGCGGAGTGCCGGCAATCAGTCGTTCTAGTAGCTTCCCAAGTGGACTCAGCATACAAAGATGTCTAGATTTGACTTCTCTATCGGTGGGTTTCGGAGGTTTAGGGATGAGTACTAAACGAGCCTCCTTCCACCTCTTCATGATTTCATTTGGTATTTCATCTAGTCCTGGTGCCTTACCTGTTTTCAATTTCGTGAAAAAGTTCTGTACTGAATTTAATTCCCAATTTGTTTACCAATTACAATCCTGTCTGACACGTATAGAAATTATTGTACTGAATTTCGTACGAAATCATGCGCAGGTGGTAGAAATAAACTATAACTGTCAACTTCAAACTGCCATTTATCACGTCAAAGTCATTCTAGCCACACTTTACAAATTTACGATTATCGCTCTAAACATAAAATTTTGCCTCCCAAACAATGCGGCTATCGAAAAGGATATTACACTGCAGGTGCCCTATTAAACTTAACCGATAACATTGTTAGAGCCTGGGATCAACATATGATCACATCATTAGTTCTTCTTGACTTCTCTAAGCCATTCGATACCATAAATCATCGTCTTCTAGTAGCCAAGTGCAAATATTTTGGTTTTTCTTTTTTTTTTTGGGTTAAGTGGCAGAGTAGCATTGTGCTAAACTTCGCCCCCTAAATAAAGACGATTTATTATTATTATTATTGCTTTGCGCCTTGCTAATTTATTCCTTTATTACTTTAAATGAATAGCAAATTGTGGAAAATGGATTCGCATATATTATATGCGATTCCGGCAGCAGCGATCTGCGTTATAGCTGTCCACCTCATGAGAAAATGAAGTAAACGAATTTGGTGCCAAAAATGGATCAGGGAGAGGGACCAGGGCGTGGGTGTGCTCCATATGCCGAATAAAAAACTTATAAAGGAGGATCCACTGGCTTATAAACATAATTGGTTATAAAGTCATTCTGATTTTATTCAACGCAGCTTATTTGGCTTTTTTGTTTTTATAGGCCTTGCTTTTTACAGCATATAAACAATAATATTTCTAATACTCGTTTAGTAGTATGTCACACTGCTCTTTTGATCATGATGATCTTCAAAGTTTTCAATCTATAGGTAGAACAGCATAAACAGAGGAGTTTTGCGAAACTGATGAACACAGCCGATTACGTCAATTAATGAAAGAGTTTGAGTTTATATCAGCCATTTTATGGCTCCAAATGCGCAGAAGTCGTATGCGCACTTATAGTATGATATTATTCAGAACAGGTTCTCAATAATTTAGCACTAAATTTGTTCGTACAAAAGTATGCACTAAATGCTGTCTGACACTTTCCTTAATTTTATACGAATTTTAGCACAAAATTTGGTATCGTGACAGACGGTCTTTAGGCATTTTTTTCGTTTTTGCGCTATTTCATTATTCCACTAATACTTTGCTTCTCTCACTTTGCCATTTTTGTAGACCACGCCGAATGTATTCTGTATATATTCTGTTATGACTACTTCCTCCAGCAGTTGAACTTTGCTTTTGTAATCATCCAGTTGTTTGTTCCATAAGGTTAACTGCAGATCCCCGGCGAATGCTTTTAATTTGACTCCATTTATCATTCACCGTCGGATGTTATGTTTCTGTGGTCTTCCATGTTTGATAGTTGTTATTGCAAACATAGTATATTTATGGTCGCTCAGGTTTTCATCCAGTACTTCCAGTTTTTTATTTTACCAATCAGGTTCTATGGAAACTGATGTCGATATACAGGGTGTCACAACTTATCCGACAAATTTTAACCACATATGCACTGTTACGAAAAATGTTGATTTAAAAAAAATGTAATAAAAGTCCTACAGAAATTGAGTTATAAAACTAAATTGAAAAATAAATATCTGTATTTTGCGTTAGAATACGCATTAATAATTTAATGTAGCAAATGTTGTACTAAACAACTGACGAAAACAAAATACCAGGAATTTTTTGTTTTTTACATACTGATAAGAACGTGTAAATAAGGTTTAGTCTTTATCGTGGCTGATCTGAATGAAGAACGGTTGATTTTTGTGAAGTTAAATAAGAAAGTTTTTTTGCGAGTTTATGTTTTTAGTTATTTATTAATAAAAATGGCACATGTGTACACTAATGAGGAGTTAGTTGACAATGTTTTAGCGTACGGAGAAGCAGGGCAAAATTGGCGAGCGGATTCTCGTTTGTATGCACACAGATTTCACTGACACATGATTTGTGACATGACAATTTAAGGGTGTATCTTATGTATTTTGAGACCCTTAAATCAAATCTAAAAACATCTACTTTTATGAATTACAATACGTAACATCTCATATTGCTGCATTTCTCGGCGTTTATGCGATGACGCGCATATATAATGTTAAGACGTGTCTATATGATTAGAGAGCATATTGCGTTTATTAATAGACTAATAGTAGCCGAGCCAGTTACGTTTACTGTGTTGAAGAGTACTGAGATGTCCTGAGTACTGTTAATTATTGTTAAAACGGTGTGTTGTTTTTAGTTTATTGTGATCGACTAGCTTCATGGACAATGCCTAGACATTGTGTAAATAGTGCGAACAGTTTTTGTTATGTGTGCGGAGAGCTAACTTTTTTAAATCCCAATAACGTACTACTCCCCTTGTGTTGAAAGCATACGAGCTGTATTTTGGAATTAAAGTTGGCGACCAAGATAAACTATGGGCGCCTCATATATGTAAGACTTGTGTAACGTTGTTAACAGGTTGGTTAAGAGGATACAATCGTAAAATGCCCTTTGCGGTACCAATGGTTTGGAGAGAACCGAGAGACCACACTACTGATTGCTATTTTTGTATTGGACCAAAATCGAAACATACTGTTAAGCCTTGCGGCCCGTTAAGCACGGCGATGAAGTTTCTGCCCCAGTTCCACCATAATCTTGGTATTTGGATGAAAAAGTCGAATCCACCGATTCTGAAAGTGATGGTACAGAAAGCATAAAAATTTCCGATCCTTCGTTTGACCTGCCAGGATGTTCAACAGCGCCGCATTTGATCACAACAGGGCAAACTTAATGACGATTAAATCTGTCAAAATCCCAGTCAGAACTTTTATTTTATTAAAAGATTGGAATCTTCTCCACGGTGATGTTAACATTACATTTTAGCGAAGACCTCACACACTGTTTCCGTCAAGAAAGGGAGTTGATATATTGCTCCGATGTCAACAATTTGTTTGACGCGTTAGGACACAAACATGATCCAAATGATTGGCGCCTGTTCATTGATTACTCTAAGCTTAGTTTAAAAGCGGTATTGGTACACAACGGTAATGAATATCCATCTGTATCTATAGCACACGCAGTTCATATATTATGAATCATATGAAAATATGCGAGTTCTGTTAGAGCATATCCGTTATAATGAATATGGATGGGCCATATGTACAGATTTGAAGGTAATAGCCCTTCTTGGAATGCAACTGGGATATACCAAATATTGTTGTTTTCTTTGTGAATGGGACAGTCGTGCGCGAGATCGTCATTATGAACAACAGAAGTGGCCACTACGTCAGGTATTAACTCCGGGCCTCAAAAACATTGCTCATGAACCACTAGTTGCTCCCAACAACGTGTTGCTTCCACCTTTGCATATTAAATTGGGACTGATGAAAAATTTTGTGAAAGCTATGGATCGAAATGGACTTAAAACAAACATTTCCGAGACTTAATGAGGCAAAAGTTAAAGAGGGCATATTTGTGGATCCACAAATATGGAAAATCATGAAGGATAATGTATTTGACAGTGCTCTAAATGAAACTGAATTACGAGCTTGGAATGCTTTTAAATCAGTTACTGCAAATTTTTTAGGCAATGTGAAGGCGGACAATTATTATAAAGATATTGTGAGTGAACTAATTAATGCTTATAAGGGAAAATTCACTTTTTGGATTCTCATCTCGATTTTTTTCCGGAACATTTAGGTGCGGTAAGTGATGAACATGGTGAACGATTTCACCAAGACATTTCTGCTATGGAAAACCGGTATCAATTCGAATGGAGTGTCAATTTGCTTGCTGATTATTGTAGGACATTGTTAAGAGATACTTTAGGAGCAACATATCGCAGTAAAACAGTGACAACAATCTGAGATTAATGTTTATTCGAGTGTTAGTTAGTACACTTACACATCCTTATCCTTATATTTTGCGAGTATAAGCAGCAAATAAAATGCCTTATTGCAAGAAAATCGAATGCTTTTTGGATACGTTTTCATAATAACCACCTGGTTTTGTCCATGTCACAAAAAATTATTTTAATTTTGTTCACCAGTGTTTCCGAATAGGCGCATACCACATCATGAAACATTTAGTTCAATTGTTTTACGTGCACGTGCTAGTGAAGATTTGCGCCCGAGACGTGGAGTGGATGGGGTTCGGGTTCGCCCACAATGCGTTTTAAATGCCGAAGACGAAATTTTGGATATTGTGAAAGAAAATCCGGGAATAAGCACAAGGCAGTTAGCCCAACAGCACCCAGAAGTGTCACATGCAACAGCGTGGTGCATATTAGATGAGGCCCAACTGTACCCTTATCACGTTCAGAGAGTCCAGGCGCTGCTACCTACAGACTACCCCCTAAGAGCACCTGCCCCTAATTCGGCAAAAAATGAAGAGAACTGTTTTTACAAAAATGAAATGTACAGGATCCTCCACAAGCTGAATTAGAATCTATTAGCTGAAAAATTACTAGGATTAGTTGAAATCTATGTTGGATATAAACTTCATTTTGCCAGAAGCACTATTCGTATGTTACATGTGTTTCAAATTCGAACCTCGCCTTTGAAATCTGAGAAACGGTAAAGCGAATGTCATCGTGTGGTCCGTACCAGCAGCGGATTTCTGCGTAACATTATGCATCAATAATTACCGTCGTCCACAGGCTATACAGTCAAGTATCACATATCATGATAAATATATTGACGGGTCACAGAAGATACTGATCTTGCGACATTCGCCTAAACGACGCGGAGTACTTTGTGGGGGCAAGTTGCGCAGGTAAATAAAAAAAATGGAACTTGAACAGTTTGGAAATTCATCCACATTGTCTACAAATTTCAAACAAATTGCACAATGACATTACCAGTTTTTCTCTTCAGCACGGTGGCATAATCAGAATTTCGATCTGACGTTCCAGCTCTCAGTTTTTCAAAGTTATCCCGCTTTCGATGTCTTCATTATTACTCTTAAATAATATGAATGAGTTACAATATGTCGTTCCTCATTCGATGAGTTTAAGCTAACTATATAAAGTTAGGCACTTGAAGTTTTATATCAGTGCATAACATACTTTTTTTATAATAATGTATTACATGCTGAAATATTTGAAATCAGAATTAAAAGCTATCCGCCTATGCAAAAATGGTATATATAAAAAGAATCATAGTTAAGTCGGGGGATAAGAGACGAAACATCATAGTAATGTTCTATTTATAACACCTTGCTGGGATCTAAATGGCAATGTCAATGTGCAGTTTAATTTGAAAACTCAAATAAATTCAGAAAAATGGTTCCCCTTTCCGTGTATCTTTGGAGATACTGGAAACATCAAAACTTTTCAAAATATGCGTTAAATATTTTGGAAAGTATGTAGTTCGGCTAGATAGTATAAAAATGTTACACCCACGGCGCCTAAATTGAAAAATCAATTTTCCAGCTGAAGAATTATATTTTGCTGACTGGTTGTCAAATAAGCAAGTGGACTTTTCTACAACCTAGTGCCTATGATTGAAGAAGGCTGAAAGAATAAGTCTAAAACGGAAAATTCGATTTTCCCGCGGGGTACGCTTTGTACGGGTTTCCCCTAAGTACTTGAAAATTTTTAATTAAAATACAGGGTTTGTCCAGAAAGTAATAGGACTCATTTTCTTCCGCCATGACTGTACTTCGGAGCGTACGCACACCGACTGGATTCGGTAGAGGGCGTTCCTAGCTAACGAATGAGCGGCTGGTCAGTTGTCTGCGAGCACTTGGAAAGTCAGGACAGGCATTTCCGCGCGACGCGATTCTGTGAGTGGTGCAAGCCGAAAATGCAGCGTTCGTTAGAGCAGAGGTACGCGATTAATTCTGTGTGAAACTCAGTAAATCTGCGACAGAGACGTTCGATATGATCAAGCAGGCTTACTTAGGTGTTGCTTTAGCAAGAAGTGGTGTGTTTCGGTGGCACCAGGCCTTTTTGGAGGGCCGAGAAGAGGTCGCTGATGAAGATCGTGCTGGAAGACCTTCGACTTCGACAAACACCGATAATGTGACTCGAGTTTTGAACTCAGACCATCGACTAAGTATTCGTTTAATTGCCCAGATGTTAAATTTACCAAAATCTGTGGTTCATGACATTGTGACACAGTCTTTGAACATGCGCAAGGTGTGCGTGAAGATGGTCCCAAAAGTGCTCATTGACGACCAGAAATTGCGACGAGTGGAAGTATGCCAAGAAAATTTGAACATGTGTGAAAGTGACCCCCAAGTTTTGAATAACGTAATCACAGGTGACCAGTCGTGGATCTTTGAGTATGATCCCGAGACAAAGAGGCAATCTTCCGAGTGGCACACGACGGCTTCTCCTCGCCCAAAAAAGGGAAGAATGAGCAAATCCAAAGTGAAAACGATGCTCATTGTCTTTTTTGACATCAAAGGCATCGTCCACCATGAATTTGTTCCTCCTGGACAAACCGTCAACGCCAAGTTTTACGTGGAAGTGCTCAGGAGACTCAAACGAACGGTCAGTCGGGTCCGACAAGACATCGCACTGGAAGTTGCTCCACGACAACATCCCGGCTCACACCGCCTTTCTTGTGAACAGCTACCTGACCAAAGCCGGCATCCCAACGCTTCCACAGCCGCCCTACAGCCCAGATGTGGCCCCCGGACTTCTTTTTGTTTCCCGATGAAAGGCAAGCATTTTGAGACGAAAGAGGGGATACAAGCAGCATGCACCGCGGCTCTCAAGGCTATTCCGGAGAATGAATTCCGTGACGCCTTCAATGCTGGCAGCGCTGCATCGACGCAGAAGGAGCCTATTTTGAAAGTTTTTAAAGAATTGTAACGATTAGCTCAATAATTTTTTTTAAATCGACTCAGTCCCATTACTTTCCGGACAAACCCTGTATGTGACATGACAAGTCAAAATATGGGTTTGTTTTTTAATAATTATTTTCGACTTTTTCCATTATGATTATTGATACACTGTGAAAGTTATTCGACATTTCATTCTATAAAAGCCCAAATACTATGAAAAACTTGTTAAAAACTGGTTCACTAGTCAGCGACACCGGTTTAACTGTCTCCTGAAAAAATCGAATTGTGTGATTTTTGAAGTGACCAATTCAATTGCAGGCCACTGAGTTTTCTTAAAGACAGGATCCTTTAAAATGCATATGCGGCAGCCAGGTGCACTTCTCCCCCCTCACGCAAAATGTACATTGAGCGCGCGCTAGATCAGACAACCAAGGTTTATAATAATAACTATAATAATGAGCCGTAGTCATAAAAGAGAAGCATATCCTCGGAAGCATAAGTATAAGGTCTTGCTTCGGAGAAAAAGGTAGAAGCATAAGCATATCCTTGTTTTCATATTCATAATGATTACCTTATACTCGCGAGGATATCCTCCAAGAAGTAAAAGTTTGACTGGTATTTGTATCTTGAGCGACATGTCCCGACTTGTTCCAGCTTGTAGTTGACGTGGGAGTTCGTTCACTCAGCATCACTGACAGTTGTACTCCAGAGCTTACACAGACCGTTCCGTATTTTTACTGGATATAGTTTTTTTATCAAATTAATAAGCATGTCATCCTCAAGTGATGAGGAAACTATAGAAAATAATGGCAACGACCTGCAGGTCATCGCGAAACGAATCACCATTCGGTAAACCATTAGATACTAAAGGCTTATTAAAAAAAATGAAGAAATGATATCAAGATTGAAGAAAAAAACAGATCTAAAAAAAATAAAGCAATTAAATTGTTAGATTGGGAAAGAGAGTTGCTGAAAGCTATGGAAGGTGACTGTAATCCTACAATTGCGAAAATTAGAGGTGCCATTCAGGTTGGTAGTGTTCAAGAAGAAGGAAGTGAACTATATACCGAGCGGAGTGAGCAAACAGTATTACAGCGCCAGCAATTCAGAAGACATTGCCACCAAAAAGAAAATTAGCAACAGTGAAATACGAAACTGACGAAACCAAAGGGTTAACTACCAAGGAACTGCAACGTCCAGCAATACCAAACAAGTATTTTAGAACAAGAGTATTATAAAACGAAATTAGAAATGATGCAGCGTCAGAAGCCACCTGTAACTTATGATGTTCACGAAAATAAAACTTATAACTTATAAATACACTTAAATCAGTAAAACTATTTATTATAATACTCAAGTTTCTTCATATTTGTTGACCTAGTTGGCGGAGAGGAAGTTCGTCATTCTCATGATTTCCTTCATCTTCAACTGGGTCTTGTTCAACTAACTCAAAGTCAGGATCGCCCAAGTTCTTCGCAACATTATGGAGTACAATACAAGCAATAATTATTTTCGGCACATTTTCCAACTTTACGCGGCAAGCATACAGGTACTGTAGGATAGGAAACCGGCGTTTCAGTTGGCCGAAACAGCGTTTAATTATGACTCTTTCTTGTTTTAAAAGCTTATTATAATTTATTTCTGCACCTGGAGTAGGATTTCTGAAGGGAGTCATAAGGCATGGCTCAATACCATAACCGTCATCGCCAAGTAGTACAAAATTTGCTTTATTTATTAGTTGTGATCTAGTCTAGTCTAGTCTCTCTGGCATCACAAGTGGCTTGCACATTTAAAGTAGGTTTCCCTTTTCGGTTGATATACTCAGCTCCATGGCGATTTGGTTTCAGAATTCCTATATGTGTACAATCAATTACACCAATTGTTGTCGGAAATTTATACATGCTTTGCCATATCCGCTTGGCCTCCATCAGTTCATGGTTGGTAGTTGGAAACTTGATCCATTCGTTCGACTGTGCAACTATGCTGTTCACAACTCTATCCACAGTCCGAGATACCGTTGCTTGACTAACACCAAGTTCCTGACCAATACATTGTTGATATCCAGGGTCACCTAGATAGAGTAGACATATCTTCGTTTTATGAATACATGAAAGTGCTCCTCCTCGAGTTTCCTCATTCTCAACTAAAAATCTGTCCGCAAACCATTGTACAGTTGCTTCGTCGTACCAATATAATTTTTTGAAGTCACGACCAAGTGAAGGTAAACAAGGTTTGTACGTTTTAACATCCCTAACATCCACAATTTCCGCCATCATCGTTTGACCACCTTTCGTTACGAAGTTGAGTCTGCTACTGACCACACTCAGAATTTTTGAAGGATATGCTTTCTATGGCAAGTATAAGGTGAAGATTATGAATATCCTTTTACTTATATCACTGCTTTGAAGGATATGCTTATACTCAAAAAGCAAAAGCATTTACTTCAAATTATTATAAATACCATCTGGGACAACAATTCAATTGCTTTATTACCAGTTTTTTTTTTAGATCTGTTTTTTCTTCAATCTTGATTTTTTTTAATAAGCCTTTAGTATCTAATGGTTTACCGAATGTTGATTCGTATTTTTTCAACATCTTCTTCAAGGCATCGTCCTTTCTCATTTTTATTTTTGGGACTTGTGACTTATGCAAAATAATGAGAGCAATGGCAATTTCATCTGCGATGAAATGCAGGTCGTTGCCATTATTTTCTAGTTTCCTCATCACTTGAGGATGACATGCTTATTATTTTGATAAAAAACTGTATCCAGTAGAAATACGGAACGGTCTGTGTAAGCTCTGGACAGCTGTCAGTGATGCTGATTGAACGAACTCCCACGTCAACTACAAGCTGGAACAAGTCAGGACCTGTCGCTCAAGATACAAATACCAGTCAACCTTTTACTTCTTCTTGAAGGATATTCTCGCGAGTATAAGGTAATCATTATGAATATGAAAACAAGGATATGCTTATACTTCTACCTTTTTCTCCGAAGCAAGACCTTATACTTTTACCTTATGCTTCCGAGGATATGCTTCTCTTTTATGAATACGGCTCATTAAATGGATTATATAGCGAAAACTATTAACTTTAGAGAAAAGTACATAAGAATCTTTTTTGTTCAGATGAACCCAAAGAATTTTTTGGAAGTCTGGTCAAAACAAATTGCTTTCAGAATTTTTGATGCCATGTTGCGCCTGGCAACATGCAGATTCATTAAAAAGGGCCCTTTTTGAACGAGATTATGCAAAAAACCGAATCAGAACTACATGTCAGATGTTTGACAGTTGAAGGAATACGTCATATTTGCCGAAACATATACAGGGGTTCTAAGGAAGGAACCGGTATTGTTGAACTTTGGTCATCGTTAACTTAAAAACTCTCAAAATTTGCATATTCAGCATAATTTGTGAATGTTTAGAATTTGTCCCCTCGCTCATGAGAAAATTTTCTACCCCATCTCTTCACACAGTTTTTGGGGCAGATGCACTTCTACTCTTCAAAAAGTTTTGGAGCGGGAACACGTTTACGTTGTCGATGATCCGGTGGGTGCCCCTCAGTATACACCTTAGGAAAAACCATTGTTATACATGGGAAATCATTTCTTGGCAACAGCGCATCGGCTCGTCTACTTTCATCGCTATTCGTACATATTTCCTACCGTTAACGCGCGTGCCGTTGTCAAGTGCGATAAGGGATTCATGACTCACTCTGCGGTTGGGTTTTGTGTAGGAAAGGTGCGTCTTTATTTAATCCAAAATATCTTAAAAATGTACTCGCAAGAAGAAAAGTTTCAAATGATAGAATGGCACATCCAGAATAATTCAGCACGCGCGGTTGTTGAATTATTTGCGGTACGCTTCCCAGATCGGCCAATTCCGTCTCACGCAACGGTTATAAATACCTACGAAAAATTCAAAAGGGTGGGCTGCTTACATAAGTGCCATAGCTGCATGCACCCTGAAGGTTGGAAACCAAAAATTAGCGAGAAAAGGGAGGAGATCGAAACTGCTGTTTATGCCGCTGCAGAAGTATCTGAGCCATGCTCAAGCAGAAAAATTGCTGAAATGGTACAAATAGCCGATCTCACACCCAGAACAACAAGAAATATTTTGCATCGCAACGGCTATCATAGCTTCAAGGTTGGAACGGTTCAAGAAATATTTCCTTTAGACAAATACCGTCGAATGGAGTTTTGTGAAACGGTCATGGAGAAGGCGAACAGGGATGCAAGTTTTATTGGTAACATTTTGTTTACTGATGAATCCACATTCCCTCTCCACGGTCATCACAATCCTTCAGTCGTTCGGTATTGGTCTCGGGAAAATAAACACCTCAGTTTTCCCGTCCGAACGCAGTATCCACAGAAACTGAATGTGTGGGCAGGAATTCTAGGTAATAACATTATATTTGGCGTTACTACAGACGCAGATTGTTCCTGCAATTAGGCAGCTTGGCATTGATCTCGCTAATATTTGGTTCCAACAAGATGGATGCCCGGCGCATAATGCGGCGATCGTACACACTTACCTTGAAAGTGTGTTCGGCCACCGGATTATTGGCGGCAACGGAACAATAAAATGGCCTCCTAGATCACCGGATCTAGCGCCCAATGATTTTTTCTTGTGGGGTTATGTGAAATGTACTGTTTACACTTTCAATGAGAGAGCAGACAATTTGCATAACCTACAGGTGAAAATCGTTGAAGCGCTCGGGCAAATACAGCCTTCTACCCTCTTGAGAGTTCGTCAGGAGTTTTATAACCGCCTGACATACTGTTCATTGAATGAAGGAGACGTTTTTGAGCACCAGCTGTGAAGGACCATTTGAAACATTTGTGTTCATTATTGCGTTTTATTTTTGAGAACTTATTTTTTTGTTAGAATATCTTTTTATTTCTTCTTATTTTTGTTATGAGACGCAACCTTTATTGCTACAAAACCAATTATCCATTCATAAAAATAAGTAGAGTGATTTAGGTGATTTCGTGAAATCTCGAAATCACCGAAATCGGTTCACAGGACGTCCAATCGAACTGGTGCGTAATGCGCGCATCTACTGTACTTCTTCTATCGACTCAACGCATACTGAAATTTGCAGCAGACCGCAGACCTGTATCACGAATGAGAATAATAGGCAAATATGCTGTGTTGCCAATTTGAGTAGAGCTTCCCGAATTGTGGGGAATTTAGAGTTAAGTGTTGATTCATTCAAGCTTTTAATCAGCATGGCCTAGACGTTAGAACTTCATAAAGATAACATTGAAGCTGAATGCTGCTGGAGTATAGTGTTTCGAATATTCAAAGCGGAGCGGGACACTATCCTCGTTCAATGGGTCATCAAGCCACAGTCTTTTCAACAAAGAAATTATTTTACGAAAATGCGTTATATTTTTACGATTTTGTCGTCACCAAATCTGTTTCTCAAAATGTACGTCTATTGTAGAATTTTCAGCAAACTAAGCAAGAAACGTGATCTAGTATTTACTCAACATTACGGATTTCTCGAAATACATTAAAAAATGTGACCTAGATACCTAACTGCCCCAAGCTCTTTAAATATAACACCTTAAACCAGGGTTACCAGGTGCTCAGTCACGTTGATTGTCATGTTGTACTGCGCAAGTCAGCAAACAATCTGGCGTAATAAACGTTAGGAATCATCAGGTATTGCCAGATTCCCGAATACCGGGCACCATAGTAACCGTTATAGTTGTCCTTCAAATTTATCAAATCGCCCCTATGGCGCAAATTCGCCACACCAGGCGTCTGCGCTATAAACAAACCCTGGTATCACTACTATTTGATAGTCATATGGTAGTTGTAGCCCTATCTAGCGGTCCATGATTTCTCTCAATACTGTTGTATCTCTACTGGCAACAAGAATAGGGATTACAAAATCATTTATACAACAATATACAAACATGAAAAATATGATTTGAACCATGAAACATTAATACAATTTTAATAGTTTGAATTTTTTTCATTTTTGGAATACTCTTATGAGGAATCCGCAGCTATTTTTCCCGAAATTTGGGTAGACTTAGATTTCTTAGAAATATGACATATTGGTATCGGCAACTCTGCGAATGGGAGAAACAAATCGCATTTGTTGAGCGCATCCGTCTAAGCAGCAGGCGCCAGCGCCCGTTCTGCCATCTCTCTTTTATCACTCTTCTACTTTACCCCGTTGTCCGTCACACTCCGACGCTGTCAGATAGGATCCTACAATCGAGTGTCTTTCACGCACCTACATACTTTTGTATATTTCCATCTCTCTTCCTCATCATAATGTATAATAATGTTTTTTCCCAAGGTGTATATACCTACAAAGCAAAAAACATTTTTTTCTCTTTGACCTCTTCAAAGCTGATTAAAAATAATCTGTTTTCCTAGTTTTATTATATTTATTTTATTATATACTTTTATATATATTTTATTACATTGATTCACTATTCAGGCTACCTAGGCTACTAAACATTGATACAACTGAACTTACTATAACTATAGCTGGTATGATTCGAACTCACGGATGCAGACTACTAAACGTTTTCTTTATATTTCGCAAAACGAGTAGTACGTCATATAATAGCTTTGTTTTTATTGAACCAGGTGTAGAAATAGTCCATCATTTTCAATCAAGTTAGTGTGAGCTTTAATGTTCTGGTGTATTTTAGCGGAACCTGTCACTCACACCTAAAATAGCATTGCATGTTTATGACATTTTCTTGACTGTATACATGCCAGTACCCTCCAATGGCACAAAAATAACTCATATTTACGCAGAAATTAAATATAATTTCGATGAATTAGTATGTTAGTAATTATGAATTTAAAGATGAAGTCGCAAAATGAATATTCTTTTTGGATATCACAATGATAGATATGATTTACTTTTTTACTAACGTTTCGGTCACCGCGGTGGCATTGTCATTTGTTCTTTGTAAAAGGCCACCTTGGTGGCGAGAATGTTAGTAAATAAAGTGATTCAAACACATGTTTAATTTAAGGCCAGACAATCATGGACTCTTATCAGCATAAAAACCACAGGATAAGGTTCAGGTGGTGCTTGATTAGTGCAGGAGGAATAGCCGGAAACGTTGCGTGTTATATCAGAGGTCACTTGAAATATAAATGGTGATTGAAAAAATAATGGCAACATTTCCAGGGCATAAAGTATGTCCGAAAATAACACGAAAATATCATAAACTTAATCCTAAAGTTCCTCCTTGTTATACATAATAACAATAATTTCAAAATCGAGAATAATGTTGTATATGAGTTACTAACAGCATATGTAATACATAGGAAAGTGTCTGCGGCTCTAACTATACCGGTAGCGTAAAAACTTGGATGTTTTGATAAAAAATATTTACTACGCCACTTACTTTTTTGCATTTTTAGATAAGGTATGGAATTTGAAGTTAATCTTTTTGGAGATAATGTTGGTGAATTTGGTATGTTTGTAGCAGTAATATTTGAAGAATCTTTTGATCTTAATCAGTCAACAATGAAAATGCTACAGGATCTGTTGGATACAATCCTAGGGGGATACGGTAGGATGTGCAAAGAACTTCCATTATTTTTCTGGGCATAAAGAGAGGTATCAGGGTAGCTTAAAACTTAATAAAAATTAGTTTGTTTGGTTATCTTACGTATGGTGGAAGCAGATATTTTCCTCGTCTTGTCGAGATACGAAAACTTATTCGCAAATAGTATTTTTACGAAATATACAACCCAAACCACAACATGCTACCTGTTACAAACTCATATTTTTATTTGTTCTATTTTCATACGGAAAGATGAAGTCAACAAGCTCTACTGAAATAGCAGCCCTGGATTAAATTTATACCAGGAGTATGTAAACATATTGAATCGCTTCTACAAATGTTTCTATAAATAATGCGCCTGTAACCAACTTGACTTCCAAATTGCACGAATTACATTTTGAATCTGTAAATGTGCCTACGTAGCTTCTTGGGTGCTATGAACTGCCACAAAAATCTGGCCAAAACTCACAGTTCAATCTTATTTACAAACAATCCTTTCAACGTTTTTCATACGCTTAAGCGTGCGTCACAAAATACAAATATTTACTTGCGTCTAAAAATCAAAGTTATTTGTCGAAATCCTGATGGAAATTATGTGTCAGGATGATCGTAAAATCTTGTCGGTGGTATTTCAAGGTCATCGTTCCCCAGAATAGTTCTGAAAAAATTGAAAACAGCCGTGTTTTTTTCTCCGATTTTCATTTCAATTAGATGCAGCATTTTTGAATCAGTATATAGTTGGTAATTCTTCTAAAATCTATTATATATTCGATTATACATTGTATCGGCAATATAAGGTAGGGTCAAAATAATCAAGGCGCACACAGTTTCAGCTCTGGCTTAACATACAGCTATTTCCTACATTGAGGCAAGCAATCTACATATTTTGATAAAGCACTGTAAATTGACTTTATTTATATTCAAATATTTTCAGTAATTAAAAATGCCACAACCAACGGAAGGAGCGAGTTTGATGACAACGTACCTGATCCTAATATCATTACTGATAGCATTATGGGTGCTATATTCAGGACTACTAGTATAAGAGATGTGTGAGTATAGAATATTATTCCTTAATTCCAATACTACAAAAAGTTCCTGTTACAATGTCCTAAAATGCACCCACACGGGATATTGCATCTATGTCTACAAAGACGATAATAAATACAAATTACAATAGTCTGAACTCATTGAACTAAACCCCCCGCTTCAGGCATTCATGTAAAATGTTAACATTGCATGTAGGTAAAACGCCACATCTGCTATATGTGGAACCATGCTCAGCCTATGTTAAAACTTGAGCAAAACCCCTTACCAGTTTAAAGTAATGAGTTGAATTCCATAAATGAGAATTGGCTAATTTTAACGTAAATCTTTTTTACGTTGAAAAGGCTCTATATTGGCTCAAAATTGTACAGAAGGGTAATAATCTTAGCATAGCTGGGTTACTATAATATTATTCATCACAAATAGAGTGTATGCCTTCTTTGTTATGATTTTTTACTAATAAAGGGTAGACATTTTCTGCACAACTTTTGCTTTTAATTCGTTATTACAAATTGTTGCTGACTTTACAGCTTTCTGTAGTCTGGAAATTAAATGCCATGCCAATTGAGTAAACTGGGGATCGTGAAACTAGCTTTATACGTCTATTAGAAAAATATGCATCCTTTCTATACAATGTAATTCCAATTGTATTCATTTTCTTCTCAGAATCAGTAGCATATAAGGAGCACAGAGAAAACATGTTTTTTCATTTTTAACTAATATCATAAAGTCATATCATATATCATATCAATATCATAATAACATCACTGCACATGCAAAAAAGTTATTAGTAATAAAATTTTGTTCCAGGCGTGCAAATACCTTAGAGATGAGCAGAAATGAACGGTCAAATGAACAAAATGTTCAGCTTAGAATTGTAACTATTTCGGACTAGGCGGAGTTGCACTGCCCATGTCCTATAGCCTGGCCATTTTTTGCCTCCACTGACGAGATTTCTTCGCCAACCTATTCCAAAATTTTGAAAAATTGAATAAGCTCCGATGAATTCAAAATAAGCCTGTATGTATGAAATACTACTACAATGAAACTTGATACCTTAGGAAGAGTAGCCATAAAAATAGATATTTAACACAAAACAACACAAAAAATATAAAGAATAGTGGATTTTTTCAACTTTTTTTAAATTTCATTCAAGTATTTTCTTCGGCTGATTCTAAGCTCTATGTTCCTTTATTGAATATTTAAGGTTTATTTGTATCGTATCAAGACAAAACATCAGAGTTGATCCTATACATCCTATACATACTTGATTTGTCCTCATATTATACAACATAATTACAGTTTCGAAATAATAATCAAACGAATGTGTACAAGTATCATGTAAAGCTTATTAGTGGAGAGAAAAATTAAAAATGAGTCAGAACTCTTCCATAAATTTTGTAAAGTTAGTACCTGTTTGTACGAAAATGTGTGAATTATTTATTGTCTAATAAAATAATTAAAACTGGATGCCTATTGATTATTATTATATTATATTTAGGCAGCAGCGGTGGCCGCAGTAGTAGACTCTTCGGTCTCCTGATCAGTCGCCGTGCGCTGTGCGGGTTCGAATCTCGTCCCAAGAGAAATTTTTCTTTTGGCTATGGATGTTGTGGTTGTCCGTAGGTGGTAGATGGTCTCTGACTGTCGAACGCAGAGGTACCACCCGGCGGATCTCGTAGGAGGGGCCAGAATGTGTGCAAGTTGCATGCACACGTGTTCCTCGCCAGAGTCCGTGTGGGGTTCCCCCTTTCCCCTGCACCCCCTATACGCAATCATTTAATCAGATAATAAAAATTTGAAACAGTCCTTCAAACATTTGTCGAACAGTGCTTCACACTCGTCCCCATGATGCTCTGAAAAACAAGATAAAACTGTGGTACTAATAAAACATCCAAACTAATAAAAAAGCCTACGGTTGAAGCTTTTGGGAACCAAAGCAATTGTTAAATATTGACTTCCAACAAATTGGTTTGTCTTAGAGTATTTTTGTCAAACTCAAAAAACATGGGTCTGCAAAGTGGTTTACTCAAAAATGTTTGCATAAAAAAATGTTGGGATTATAACTTTACATGTACAATCATGCTTTATATTCTGTTAGTTTTCCTAGGAATATTACTACGATTGGGAATATTGTTCAAAGTTTCAAGACTCGTCACTTTTTTTGGAAGGAGGGTTTCGGATTGTACAGGGTGGCCAACTAAGAATGCGAGGTACTGTATCTGGGAACCTATCCATCGCAGAGGCTTGCACCTAAAAAGGTTCTTATTAAAACTACCGAAAAAAAACCTGGAAAACGTTTTCAACTTTCTGAAATGGCCCCTAAGGGGCGTGACTGCAATCTTGAATCTAAGAAAGTGATGTTTCTGTGAATTCCGTTATATCAACCTAACAAAAAAATACATTTTCTTCAGATTCAAGGATAATGTGATCCTTTTTTATTTTTCAATTTTGCTGTATCTCTAAAAATAAAGTGGTGGGGGTTATTCAAAGGTTTCCGTAAAAAACACACTATATCTTCGAAATGGTTGAGCCGATTTTAACAAACAGGTTAAAGAAAGCTATTCTTCAGATGTCGCCGCTAGAGGGCTTTTTTCGACATTCCGACAGAAATGTTGATTTTCTCAAAAAAAATTAAATTCATTAGTATGATTTTTTATGAAAAAGTAGCTAAATGATGCCTAAACAAGCTCAATTCTTGTTCCTAACCTAAAATTTAGGCCAAAGAAAATTTTGTACGGAAATCCCTTAAATTTTTTTATAAACTAATTTTCTGGAATTCGTTTTAATACATCATAATAAAATCACCCTTTTTGAAAATATTACAAAACATCGCTAGAAGATAAGTAAGTAACGCTAATAACAAAAGGCATATTCTGTGTTTTAATGCATATTCACTATGGGTATAATATACATATACAACAAAACAAATACCTAATCAAAACATAATCCTCAAATTGTCAATAGTTGTCAATAGTTTCGAGTTACTTTTTGTGCTTAACAAATGCATTTTACGAACGATGAAGCTGTTGATATAAAAGTTTACGCGACTCGATATCCGAATCGGCTTCCTTGCGATTGAGTTTCTCCCCAATTAGTGGCGAGCCTAAAGCCAATAGTTTTCGGAAAACGTTTCAACGGCAAATGATTGGAAAATACAAGAAAATATTAACCGCGTACTGCGATATATTGAAAGAAAACCTCATGTTAGCACAAATGCATTATCCCTTGAGTTGAGCACATCACGAACAACGGTTCAAAATATTTTAAAGGACCATAGGTAAGTTCTAATGACCATCAAAATATAGGAATTTATTTGAATTAACCTTTTTTTTTAATTACCTTCATAATGCACCCATATCGTGTCGTTTTGCATCAGGCCTTGAAAGAGGAAGACTTTGGATATTAGGCATGATACGCGAATTTTCATTTTAAATCCTTTGGGCCGATGAAGCCACCTTTAGTAGTGACAGGAGAGTCAATCTGCACAATATGCATTATTGGTTTGCATAAAATCCGCATTAGTTGCGTGAAGTTCAGCACCAAGGGCGTTGGAGTTTGAATGTGTGATATGGCATTCTGGGAGGCAGAATTATTGGGCCATATTTTTTCGGAGTGTCTTTCTTGTCTTTTTGGACAATCAATTACCGTTGTTGTTGGAAGATATGCCTCTGAAAACACGGCAAAACTTGTTTTTGGTTGCCCATTTCAACAGCGGTGAATTGGAAGAGGAAGTCTGTTTCCATTGCCTTCGTGATCACCAGACTTGACTTGACTTGATTTTTATTTATGGAGACGGTTAAAGGACATCGTGTTTAAGACTCAATCTACTACGAGAGAAGATATGAAAAACCGGATTCATAGTGCAATACGTAACATACCGAGAGCCGAAATTGAAGCTGCAGTTTTGTCTACCCATGAGAGTCTTCAGGAATGCATAGAGCGTTTTTGAGAGATTGTCAGCATTTCGAGCATTTACGGGGGGGCATTAAAAACGGCTTCGAGCTCGGCAGACGGTGTGTGGATAGTGAGTGAGGAGGAGTGAGGAGGAGGAGGCGCAGCAACTCGAACAAAAAACGGTCGCTCGCGTCCCTCCCTCGCGTCCTTCCCTCGCACACACACACTATCGTTTTATCTCGATGTTTCATTATGCGTATATATACACTTATACATATATACATATATATACGCGCGTTCCACAGCAAGATCGCGGATTTAGCTAGCGCACAGCCGTTAAGCGGTCCAAATGCGATCGAACGTGTAATATACGAAAGACGATCTTCAGCTCGCTCTTCGTAATTATTTTTTCACATTTGCGACATCTCTCCTCATTCCGAGTGAGAATACGACGACGACGACAGTTGTTGTCTTATAACCGAAACGTAGAACTATCTTTTCGATTACACCGTGTCGCTTTCAATCTAGCGAAGGGTCGAGAGAATGTTCGAAGTTTTCCACCGGTTACCGTAACGGCGCGCGCGCCTTAGTACGATCGTAGTCACTCTTAGCGACGACGACGACGACGACGACGAAAGCGCGCGCCCTGGTACAACCGGTATTAATACGTTAGACGTATACATATATTTATATAACCGGTCCTATTTAGCGCCACAACTTAATAATAAAAAGAAATTCCAGAAAATTAGTTTAGAAAAATAAAAAATTTAACGGATTTCCGTATATATTTTTTTGGCCTAAATTTTAGGTTAGAAACAAGATATCGAGATACGGATTTCGCGAGCTTGTTTAGACATCATTTAGCTACTTTTTCATAAATCATACCAAGGCATTAACCATTTCTATCGGAATGACGAAAAAATCCCCCTAGCGGGCACATGTGAAACAAACCAAACTTAAACGTTAAATATTATAACATTTGTAGCCCAAGTATAGCTCTTTTCAACTAGCCCAAGTTTGTTAACTTTCGATACAGGGTGTTTCTTGCGGAAACCTTTGATTACCCCCCCACCACTTTATTTTTAGAGATACAGCAAAAATTGTCAAACAAAAAAGGTTCAGATTATGCTCAAATTTAAAAATCAGGAATTTTTTTGTTAGGTTAATATAGTTAATATTGAATGCACAGAAACATCACTTTTTGAGATTCAATATTGCAGTTACGTCCCCTAGCAGCCATTTCAGAAAGTTGAAATTATCTTCCAGGTTTTTCTCTTGATCGTTTTAATAACTGTTTCTGCCGCAAACCTCTAGGATGGATAGGTTCCCAGATACAGTACCTCGCATTCTTAGTTGGCCATCCTGTACAATCCAAAACCCTCCATGCAAAAAAGTGACGAGTTTTGTAGCTAGGAACAATATTTCCATTTGTAGTAATATTTGTAAGAAAACTAACAGAATATAAAGCATGTACATGTAAGATTCCATCACAAAAAATTTTTTATGCCAACATTCTTTAGTAAACCACCTTGCAGACCCATGTTTTTTGAGTTTGCTAAAAAAACAGAATCGGAGATTTCGAGCATTTATCGTAACTTCAACTTAAAAAAAAAGTATGCTCCAAAAGTTTGCCAACAGTAATTATTAACCAATTTATCGTACTATGAAGTAGACAGATGACTGATCTTAGCATTCACAATTCAGATTAGCTATATAAATAAAAATTTCAACTTACCATTTATACAAATGTCATCATAGAAATCACAATAATTGTAACATATGTTTCGTTGTGCAATTAACTGGAAAATGAAAATTGGTCTTTATAACAACTCTCGAAAAAGAACAACATCATACTCTAATATGTCGCGTATTATACAGATAAATAATAACTTAAACCTACCTGTATTCGGATTCACATTATCGTGTCCATCTTCATTATCAAATTGATTAGAGGTTACAACTATTGAGGGCAGAGTAGCAGATAACTTGTAACATGCTTCTAGTTAGAAAAACAATGGCACAGGTCTGGTTGAGATATATTAATTAATTATGGGTACTGTAGTGAATAAGTGGCTATCATGATAAGATTTTGTATCATATTGGTTAGTAGATTTTTCAAGTATATGTTTTGTAAGCGTCAAAAAACGTTTTCAACATTTCCCACAGATCTGATATGACCAAGTGTGATTGCAGGAGCTTCCCTCAGTCTTAGCTCCCCGTTAAACTCGAACATCTTAGATTAAACCTTGGAAAAGCACACTTGCACAAAAGTAAAAATAGCTAAATCACCAATGATACAAAGGAACTCTTTGTCACTCGAGAAAAGTAGCAACATTCCAAGACCAGCAAAATTATTTGCGCTCGAAATACATCGATGATTTTTTTATTACCATAACGCCTTGGTATTTAGAGCAGCTGCAATGTTCAGCCTCCAAAAACATGTAAACTATTTTACAAATGAGTGCCAAAACTGCATTATCCTTATTTCGATTACAGGTTTCCATAGCAACGTACAGTCAAGTATAGTATTTTCCACGAGAATCCATTACGGTAGAATGACAGCTGATTATCTAGTAGTATCTCAAAATTCCCCTTATCGGCAAAGGACACAAAATCCGTCAATGCCAGGCAGACCGAGCAGTATTTTGCTCGTGAAATAGGATATACGTAGTACAGCGAATATTCTGATACTATACTATACTGTGAAAGGTTGGGAAATCTCGAAACTCGAGATGCTATAGTGAATTGACCTAAACATACCTCAGTCAAAGTAACTTTTTTATATTTTTCCTTATTGCTTGAAAGTATTTCAGATTTTGGCATATAACTCGGTGTATGGAGGTTTTCTAGTATGAGAAACAAGAATCCGTTATTTTTTATGGTAAAACTTCTAGAGGGCGCTACTTACATCACTATTTCGGTGAATAACTTATCATAACTTTTTTGTGCAACCCTGTATACAACAACTGACCGAAAAATTTTATTTTCTCATATTTCCACAACAAAAAAGGTTTACTTGTTAGAACTGTCTAAAGTTAAAAGTTTTCGATATATTTTTTTAAAAGTTCCAAAGCATTATTTGTGCCCTGATCATAAAACATTTTTATAACATAATAATCAAGTTGTTTTGGATAATATCTGAGTAGCGTTGCTGTGGTTTCTTATGTTTGTCATAATATTGCTTTAAACTTCATGAATAATTTTAAGTTGACAATAACTTGTTAAACATCATGGAGTATACGTTTGATGAATATTCTGATATGCATTTAATGTATGGATTGGCAAGATGTAATGCTTTAAAAACACGAAGATTGTACGCTGACAGATTCCCTAATATACACCTGCCTAATTCAAAGACTTTAAAACGAATCTATCAGCGGTTACGAGAAACTGGTAAGAAATGATTATATCCTTATTTTGAGTAGTAAAAACCATTTGGATTTTAGGTAGTTTTGCTCAAAATATGGGCCGACATAGTGGAGCTCCCAGAAATGTACGTGCAGCTGAAGTTGAAGTAAATGTTTTTTACATCTCGTATTGTTAAGGGGGTTAGATGGAAGAATAGATATATTATCTAAATCTCGCCTCCTGTAAGAATATTACAAATAAAAGACGTTAATTATTAATATACTGTCTTTGAAACTCCTACAGTTGGGGTTAGGAATGTAGCTCGAGAATTTCAAGTTTCCAAATGTACAGTAAATACAATTTTTCAACATCAACTGCAAGGGTAGAATTGTGTACATGGCTCTTAAGGAAGTTTAACCACGACAAAGATTTTACTTCGTTAATATTATTTTCGGACGAATCAGGATTTGGAAGGGATGGGCCCATTAACTCGCATAATCTTCACATTTATGCAGACGAAAATCCTCATGCAATAATACAAACCAAGTACAATTTCAAATTAATTTATGGGCAGGAATAATTGGACAATATTTAATAGGACCCGTTGAGTTACCACCTAGACTAAATGGTTAAAGCTATTTACAATTTCTTGGAGAACAATTACCCACTCTGCTGGAAGATCTTCCATTACAAACACGCATGAATATGTGGTTTATGCACGACGACGCTCCACCTCATTTTAGTATATTAGTTAGAGAGCACCTAAATACAGTTTATCTAGACCAGTGGATAGGCCGATCAGGAGCCGTATCGTGGCCGGCTAGATCACGAGATTTAAATCCTATGGATTTCTTCTTCTAGAGTGATTTAAAATGACGCGTTCACAATACGCCGGTGGAAACTGTAGATGATCATCGACAAAGAATTTTCCACCATAACAAGGAAATGAAAAATAACATCCAAATGCTTTGGAGAGTGCAGCAATCATTAGTTCGTCAAGCTCGAGAGTGTGTTAGGCAAGGTGGTGTTCATTTTGAACAATTTTTGTAGTTATTATTTTTGTTAAAAACCATAGCAACGCTACCCAGATGTTATGCAAAACAACTTGATTTTTATGTTATAATTTTTATCGTCATGGCACATATAATGCATTGGAACCTTTAAAAACAAATATCTCGAAAACCATTAGCTTTAAACACTTCTAACAAGTAAAGCTTTTTTGTTGTTAAAATACGAGAAAATAAGATTTTTCGGTCAGTTGTTGTATACAAGGTAGCACAAAAAAGTTATGATAAATTATTTCCCGAAATAGTGCTGTAAGTGGCGCCCTCTACAAGTTTGGCGATAAAAAATAACGGATTCTTGTCTCTCATACTAGCAAACCTCCCAATACCTAGTTTTATGCCAAAATCTGAAATACTTCTCAAGCAATAAGGTAAAATAGAAAATCAAATTGTTACTTTGACTAAAGTATGTTCAGGTCAATTCACATATTTTGGTCTGTAGTATCTCCACTTTAATATTTCAAAACCTTTCGCAGTATACAGGGTGGCCCGTCCATGTGTGGGCGGAATATTACTCATAAACAAATACATTTTGGGATAATCTATTTATGGGATATTATACATGACATTTGAGGGCACATTTCTAAAATATTTTCCATGTTACAGGGTGTCCCAATTTCGACCTACATATCAAAGTTGTGATTTTCTAAATAGAATGCCTCAAATTTTATTGCATATTTGGATAAACCAATTCAAAAGAAGAAAACAGATATAACATACTATGGGGTTTTGGTAATCAGCTACTGAGATATAAGGTGTTTTGTCTAGAAAAACCCCCCACTTCGGCAACCCCTCAGTCTGTCGTTTTGAATTTTGTATCAAAACAAAAATACATACCTCAGCTTTTATCTTGTTTGTTACTTTTTCGAATTTTAATTTTTGCTCATACAGGGTGGTCAAAAACGCGATTTGTGGTTTTTCTCAAAAATTTCAAATGCATCACCCTGAATATTAGTGAAAGTTTGAATTCAATTTTTTATAAGCTTTTTTTCATACTAGACACATTATGGTTTTTTCGGCTATTTTTTCGGTTATTAGCACCTGTTTTATGGAGCTGCTTAATTCCCTAAAATATCGCATCATCCTTGGAAACAAATAAATTGTTGATTAGTTACAAATTGTCAAAATTAGCTTTGTGAGCATTATTATTAAAAACGTGTTTGAAAATGAATTTTTCTAAAGAAGAAATGGTGAATATGGTGTTCGTTTTGTGAAATAGATTCCTAGCATCTCGCATTATATCTTGGCCTCCTAGATCACTAGATATGACACCGAAAGAATTCTTTCTATGAGGCTACGTTAAACAAAAGGTTTATAGATATCCACCATCTACCCCACAAAATATTAAGGAAAGGATTAAGGATGCTTTTCTGAACATAAGGGAACACATGCTGAGGGATGTGCAACGGTCATTTATCCAAAGACTACGGCTGTGTATTCAACATGGTGGAGATATTTTCGAACAGTTTTTGTAGATTAGGTCTTGAGTAGTGATAGTTGTTTGTTTAAGCTGTTGTAACAGTTGTTTTTCTCTATTACGCTTAAACCTGAATACTGTTCTGATTGTTATTAGTTTTTAGGTCAAATCTGTATTCTTAGTGGCAATATGGAACTAGCCCTCTGTTTGTCTTTTGTTTCCATGGATGATGTGATTTTTTTCCTTAATTTTGGTGTGTTGTTCTATTAAAAGCTTAATAACTCAAAATCTTGTGATTTTATCTGTCTCAAACCTTATGCCAAAAAAAAGGTTACAAAAAATTGAATCCAAGCTTGCACAAATATACAGGGTGAAGCATTTTAAATTTTTGAGAAAAAGTACAATTCTCGTTTTTGACCACCCTGTATGAGCAAAAATTAAAATTCGAAAGAGTAACAAATAAGATAAAGGCTGAGTTATAGGTTTTTTTGATACAAAATTCAGCACACCAAATTTCAAAATGGCGGATTGAGGGGTTGCCGAAGTGGACGGTTTTTCTGGACAAAACACCTTACATCTCAGTAGCTAATTACCAAAACCCTATAGTATGTTATATCAATCTTCTTCTTTTGAAATGGTTTATCCAAATATGCAATAAAATTTGAGGCAATCCATTTAAAAAATCAGAACTTTGATATGTAGGTCTAAATTGGGACACCCTGTATAATTGCCAATATTTTAGAAATGTGCCCTCAAATGTCATGTATAACATGCCATAAATAGTTTTTTTCAAAAATTTATTTATCAGTAATATTCCGTCCACACATGGATGGGCCACCCTGTATATACTAAAGCGATAAAACTGTCAAAATGCCAATCAATCCTCGGCAAACCATTTTTGGATGGCCGACTGCAAGCAACAACACAATTCGATCACTTTCTCTCGCGTCTATAAGGAAACGAAAAACGTATTTGCGTATAAGGAATAAAATAAACCACATGGAACACGTTATATCTTTTATTATCCCTAAGAATGTCAAGAAAATGAAAATATTCTGAAACAAAATGCATGTTGATGGTGTACCTGACTATAACGCTGTTTCAATGTAACCAGCACCTTCCTAGGTAAACTGGTCCAAATGCACAAAATTATAACACACACGTTCACATGTATCAGATAATTTGCCCATCGAGTCCGTTGCGGGAATTGCTGGGTGCAATTTGGCTCCCAGGACGCGTCCCAGACTCCTCACAACACTACAATATGGGAGTTCTCCTGTACCAAAACCTGGCCCTGAAATCATCTGAACAGGTAAGGAAAGCGGCCTGTGTGGGCGAATGTGCGATCAGCCTGACAGCGCCGTTATGGCCCAAGGACATCAGCTGTTTTCTGGATGCGTTTCTGGAATTCCAGGCGCATAACGACGTCGTCGCTTCGTCCGGAAATAGAACGTAATCCTCTGTGTGGTTAAACACCGTCTGGGCTTCAAATTCTTGTTTGCCTGTAGTTCCAGCACCTATAATTAGGGTTATAACGACTTACCCTTATAACATTTACAGAAAGTTTGCCAAACATTCAGTTCCAAAAAGTTTAATCATGGTTGTGTATTCGCCCCAGTACCGAACGGCATGGGTATCATGTAAAAAACCTATAAAATGTCAAAAAACCTATAAGATGTCATCTTGAAAACAGGTAGTTCCATCCATGTTTGCTCACTAGGATCGTTGTGAACGTCCATCTAAGGAGGAATCACTCAACTAAACTAAACGCATTATTGGTTGCATATGTTTTGTGAGGCCAAATGGTGCTTGTCTGTAGTTTTTATCTCTGAGAAGAAAGTTGGTTGAATAGCAAGATCGCATCTGGATGATTATGTGTATTGGTCTACATGTGTATAAAATCAGTGATATTTGCTGTGTGAGAAAATCATTACTGAATATGCTGGCAATTAAGTATATCTATTGGCTGTGCCAGACGGGTTATTTTTATGTTGTGGTTTCTGAAGAGAGGTCATGTTCAAAGTGATAAAGTACGAAAAACTGAGGAGAATTACGGGTAATCATCACCGTGCCCGCGTAGTGTGTAATTACTGTTAGCATGTATATGGCTTGTAATTCGACAGTGTACAGTGAATATAATTATTTCTTATCTCTCTCATTTTTTAAATTCAGCAAATTTGTATATTTAATTTCCAGAATGGATAAGAAAAAGTGGATGCGCAACTAATTTCTAGCTTTGAACCTCAATTAAGTGTATTTGAGACAAGAACCCAATGTAATTATCATCAACACATACAACTTACAGCTTAGACCTCCAGTAATGCCATCTCAGAAGCAGATTTTACATCACGTCAGAGCCAAAGATTGATAACAAGCCTCATCACGTTTAGGCAACACGTAAAACTAAGTGCTAAGTTAATATCTTGTAGAAAAACCTACATAATGTCAAAAAACCGCATAAGGTCACTTTTCAAGATACGTGATACCCGTACCGTACCGGACTATTTCAAGACGTCCCTTGCGAACGTTACGTAAGTACTGACATTTGTAAAACTATTTTAAAGAGTTCCCAAACTACCAATTTGAGTGGAACCATTGATTAACGTATTCTACCTGAAGATAGTCTACCATGTACTGTATATCGGCGTCTTAAAAATATCCGAGATGAAATATCTATACAGAGTGATTCACAAGTCGTGACCAAAAATGAAACATCATACACAGGACTGCATTTTAAGGGACGTCGAGTAAGAAACATTTTTTTCCCCGAGGGCTTAATCAAAAAGATACTGGGTGTTGAAGTTTGAAAATTAAAAACATTTTTGTAATAACTTCAAAACCGTCGACTGGAATGAACTAAAATTTGGTATGTGGATTCACCCAAGTATTGTCCACATTCAAAAGCCTTTACACAAAATTAACGTGCACCAGTGGCGGAGATACAGGGGATTAGTGGCATTATTTTCCAAATAAAAATAGAACGTCACTGGATTTTTTTCGAAACGCGCGATTTTTCGAATTTTACCTTCAATTCGCTACAAATAATTACCCTTGTTTTTTCTAGAGTGCATTGTTTTCGTAAAAAAAAACAAATTAAATAATCAAAGTTTTATTTCAATAAATGTTCAAAAAGACCTCCTTCATTCTGACGTGCGGCATCTTTTTAACAAAGAAAAACGCATTTCCTCAAAATTTGTTGTGGCTTGAATCTGATGAAACGCATATTACCTTCAATTGCTACAAATAATTACTCTCGTGTTTTTTTTTCAGAGTGCACCATTTTCGTAATAATAAAATATAATTAGATCATTCATGAAGAACCGACATAAATATTAGTTTCAAAATAAAACAGGAGGCCTTGATGATAACTTGACGTTTCTTGGGTGCTAGTTTGTCAAAGTTATGTGTAATACGGTTGTTATCGTTACTACTACCTCTTTATTATTGTAAAAGTCAAGTAAGAAGTCTCTTTTTCCAATTGTATTGTGAAATGGAATTTAGCAATGGAGTACGGGTTTTGTAATGGAAACGCTTTAGCGGCCTCTCGGGACGCCAAAGTACCCCAAAGGTTTTTACGCGTTCATTTCTCAATATATATTTGCCAAACATGGAGTTAGAGGCCATGGTGTCCGGCATACTGTTCAAGAGGAACTGGAAGTGGTTAATTTGGGGTTGGATGATCCTAGTACAAGTACTTGCGAGGAGAATTTTAAATCGGGAAGTTTTACAGGCTTATCATCGGCAAAATGTACAATGTCTGCAACCCGGCGACGAAGTGCAACGGTGAAATTTTTGTTAGTGGTTACTGCAAATGCATAATCAAAGTGCAGATGTTATTGATTTGGTTTTGTGGTCATATGAATAGCTTTTTACGAGGAGTGGAACCTTTAATTTTCGTAATTAACATATTAGGTCGTTAGGAAATCCCAGTTCTGTAAGAATCCACTCTTTTCAACTTTGATTATCGAGAATTGTCTGGTGTGGCATTTTCAATGGCCAACTGTTTATGCAGATATTGCCACAACGATTATATATAAACTCATACTTTGCTTTTCTAGAAAATTACATAGAAAATGTGTTAGATTATGTTCCGCTAGCAACAAGAGTACGAATGTGGTATCAACACGACGGTACCCCACCACATGTTCTTAGTTACATAACCGCATGGTTAAATAATCATTTTAGGCAACGATAGATTGGCAGAAACGTTTTTCTTTGTTAAAAAGATGCCGCACTTGTACCCGTCAGAGTGGTGGTCTTTTTGAGCATTTATTGAAATAAAGCTTTGATTATCTAATTTGTTTTTTTACGAAAACCATGCACTCTAGAAAAAACACAAGAGCAAATTGAAGATAAAATTCGAAAAATTGCGCGTTTCGAAAAAAACACAGTGGTGTTCTATTTATTTGGAAAAGTAATACCTACTAATCTCCTGTATCTCCGCCACTGGTATACATTAATTTTGGGTAGAGACTTTTAAATGTGGACAATACTCAGGTAAATCCTCATACCAAATGTTAGTTCATTCCAGTTAACGGTTTTAAAGATATTAAAAAAATTGTTTTTAATTTTTAAACTTCCACACCCCGTATTTTTCTGAAGGCCTCGAGGGAAAAATGTTACATAGAAGGCCCCCCGTAAAATGCAGTCCTGGGTATGATGTTTCATTTTTGGTCACGACTTGTGAATCACCCTGAATATAATGATAATTTCTCAACGCTACGTTTCTCCTCTCCTCACTAATTAGAATCCTATTTTGAAAAACCGCTGTATGAATTACGTCAGCAAAATTTATTGTTTTACTTTTTCGGATTTTCTACAAGATTTGGTCGATTTTGATTTGAACACATATGGACACATGTCTATGCTCGAAAGCGAAACGCATTTTTAGGGATTCCCCAAATATGGATATGCCTAATCCTTTAGAACCATAGCTGCAAATACTCCTGGTAGAAATTAGTATAAGCGCGGAGAGCACAGAATGGCTTCTCTGATTCGGGAACTGGCTGATTTGATACTGCCTTATGACCATTTTGGGTCTCATTTGGATGAACGTGGGGATACAATTAATGAGCGTCTGGAAAGATGCAATTTCGAGTTTGCCGAAAATGTATTAGCACATGTAGTATGGAGTTCAATGGAAATTCATGGGTATCATGTTACTGCAAAATAAGTTCTTCCTTATTTTCCGTTTACGCAAGCATGGGGGAGTTAAAAATTTGCTTACTTGTGTTGACATGGGGGAAAGAGGGGGATGTTATTAATTGTAAAAAAATTGCTTACATGATACTTGAACCGGCCCCTTATATGCACACATATAAGCCCTATTCCCAAAAGTGGCTAAATCCAAAATTGATAGTAATATGAAAAAGGTGAAAAACTGTAACTCTTGCTATATGTGAGTTTTTGAATCAATAATAGCGCAATATTAATGTATGTAGCACAATAAAGCCATTTTAAAAAATAAAACATATTCTCTGGCTCATATGTCAGTATGGGCGGGGGGGTGAAGCTATGGATCTACCAGAGTTTGAATGCCAAACCATGATTTACCCGGTAATAAAACGGAATTCGTGTGAATTCTTTTCTGATGTATTAACATTAGGTCACTAATATAACAAAAAAGAATAAAAAAATCATACATTCTTTCTTGTAAACTGTCATACGACATTAATTTCAAAATTACACTCAGTATTAGCAAAGCACACACTATTCTCATAGGCATTTTCTTCTGCTTGTGTTAAACTTTGTTGATTATCCATTAGTCTTATTCTAATCCGATTTCTTCACTTTATCGCTTCCCCGCCATGGTAAACACACGTTGACGGGATTTAGCGAGTTTTGTTCATGAACAAGAGCATCATAGTTGGTATATCATTTGATTGAGCCGGTTTTGGTAAAACTAAGGATATAGCCACTTGGAAATAGGGAACTCATATATGCTTAGAGTTGGTTACAGCGCCATCTATGAGACATAAACCTTTTCAAAGTAGATTTATAAGTATTGCGGAGAGGAGTTGTGGGTGCTTGGCTATGTTAATCAACGGTAGAACTGGAAATGATCTTGGGTTTGTTTATATAAATAGATTTCTGAATCATACAGATCGTAGATACGCAGTTATGACTATTTTAGGACTACAGTTCGGTACTGAATAAACCCAAGCCTCATTAAACAAAATACACAATATACCTGTATAGGCAATGAGACACCTGCTGGTGGTCAACTCCCACAGCTTCGGTATGGAGTTTTTCCCGGATGACAGCAAATACTTTCCGTTTCTAGAGAACACGACGGAGCACACCTCCAAGCCATCATGCGCCTTAACAAAGGTGTTTACGCATCGATTGGACACCCCGTCCCAGATTTTGATGTTGCCATCTTTGCTGGCAGTGGCGAACAACTTGGCGTCCCTGGACCATTTCACGTACGTCACCGCCTGTGTGTGTTGGTGTTGGGGGAATGCGCACACGAAGCACTGCATCGTGTTCATGTCGTACAGGCGGATGACCGGATGCTGAGTCGCCACCTACCGGAAACCGTCGTTAATATACAGAGTATTAATAAAGTATCTGGCCAAACTTCAAGGTGTCCTACTTTTTTCGAAACATCGATTCGCCCTAGAGTTTCATATTCTCTATAAAATATCTCAAATCCTAGTCCAAGTAAGCTGAATCAAAGCAATGAACACACTTTTCAAATATCTCAAAAAATCAATAAGTTACGCTACCTAGAGGTTTGGTATTTGCAGTCTCGTCTTGCCGGAGCGCGTGGCTGTGTGATGACGACACTATACAATTGACAATTTTGGTTACTTCGAGCTAGGTAATTATGTGTTTATCGTTCAGCTTGAACATGATACATCTTTTGAGTGATAATGGAGTGACTTTGCCATTTTTACTTCCCTCGCATACTAGCAGGGAAGTAGTAGTCGCGAAAATTTGGTAAAATAAAAAGGAAAATGAGAAATTCTGTTTTTTGGATCTTATATGACATGTCCCTCACGAAAACTATACTCAGTGACATTAGTTACACCCAGAAAAAAATAATTTCTTCAACTTGATTTTTTGGCAATGAGGTAATAACATTCTGACGACATTTTATTGTCAAGTAATAAGAAAAAAATTTATAATGTGTTGGGCGACCTCGCAGCTGAATACACTCCTGTATACGCCTAGGCAATCGACAAAGGATGATCGATATCTGGTTGTGGCACCTCATTCCAAGCCACTCGAACTTCGTGGATTAGCTGTGGCAGAGACTGTGGCGTATGGTGCATATCCCACACATCTTCGATGGGATTTAAATCCACGGCAAAACATTATCGCCAGCATCTTGAAGACAGTCCATAGTAAGACGAGCAATATGGGAACGTGCGTTATCTTGCTGAAAAAGGACGTGCGGACGGCCCTCTAGATACAGCAGTAAAGTGGTTTGTAGGTCATCATCAACGCGCAGCAGTCATATTGCCTTGAACAAAGAGAAGGAGTGATCGGCTACCATAGGCAATAGCCACCCAAACCATTACTCCAACAGTCCTGTGTACATGACTCAACAGCAAATCTAATCTCGCCGTTCTCCACAGCGTCATCTTACCCTTCTACGTCAGTCGTGCCTACCTAGACAGAATAACGATTCGTCGCTGAAGATGAGATGATTATGCCATTCTGCCTCCCAATCTTGCCATTCTTTGCTACAATTTAAACGTTGGCGACAGCAATGTTACCAGACCTAGGGAAATTTATCTAGGGAATTACGAGCAAGCTTAGGGAAAAAGTTAAATTTATTTAAATTTGTACAAAATCTAGGAAATGTTAAGCTCTGTAAGACAATTTTAAGCAGCAGGGACAAAAAATGAACGAGAGATAGAGAATAAACTAAGAAACAAATACATATATTACTTTTAAAATACCTTCCGATTGTACCTATAAAATATGATTCAAAATATATTAAAATGTACGAACACAAAATTGTATCAACAAACCGGGCGGAAATCATAACTCATAACATTCGGGCAATTGATCATTTCTCTTAAAAAAAATAGCAATAAATGATATAAATAAATGGCAAAATTAATGTTATGCACCCACTTACTTTTTTCGGTATTTTTTTAATGGTTTAGTTCATTGATTCCCAAAGTGGTCTATATCGACCCCTAGGGGTCTATGACAACCTGCAAGGGGTCTACGTCAGCGAAAAAAAATTTGGGGGTCCATGAAATGAATATGGGGGTCCACGATATTGTGGTCGCAATACATTCTGAACTTGTAAAAACCTGAGAGTCGCAGTCTCAGAGCTTCGCTACCTTGCACTGACTTGTTCAATTCGTCACTCTATAAATACGAATGTGGGACAAATACGTTTATTCGTTTCCTGAATCTTGAAAAGGAAAGTGCTAAGAAAATATTTTAAAAAATATAAACAGATCACACAAATTATAGTGAGTCAGTGTTATTTTGTTTGAGAGTGCTGGAGAAAAGTAAGTACATTATTTTTTATTAAATTTTAGTTTTGTACTCGTAGTTAGCAAAGATAGATAAATTACGCCAATCATGACTTTAGTTATTAGTAGTTAAATATTCAGTCATACAAAATTACACGAGTACTCCTCAATAGATTCTTTTTGAAAGTTTAGCAATCGGTAATGTAATTACAGTGCCATCTTCGTAATTCGAGCTAATTGTTGCAAGAAGATGTTCGAATTATGGAATGTTTTCGGAAAAATCAAAAAATATTTTTAATATACAGCTGCTGGATTTTCTGTCTTATTTAAATAATTTAATTTTGTCCACAGATGACTGATGCCATGTCCGAATCTAAAAAGAAATGTAGACAGTACAGTGTTGATTATTTGAAATTTGGCTTCATTCCATCATTGCCGGACAAACAATCGCCTATGTGCCTTTTATGCAACAAAGTTTTGGGCAATGACGCTATGAAACCATGTAAACTGCAAGATCATCTGAGAAGATGCCACCCTGATAAAACGGAGAAAGATTTGAAATACTTTCAAACACTCAACGATGAATTTCAGAAGAGACCTACACTGGACAGAATGTTCGCTTCGACGTCACAAAGAAATGATGATGGTTTGCGGGCATCTTACAATATCTCGTTACTTATAGCAAAATCCGGAAAACCGCATACTATCGGAGAGAAGTTAATTTTGCCAGCCGTTGAAGAGGTTTTAAAAACTGTTTTACACAAACCTGCATCTGATATCATTAAAAGAATTCCCTTAAGCAACAATACTGTTGAAAGACGTATTGATGAAATGAGTTCTGATATTGAAAGCTTCTTATGTAATTATTTGCAAACGACCCATTTCTCTATACCACTGGACGAGCCAACTTTACCTGATAATGCAGCATTATTATTGGCATATGTTCGTTTTAATATGAATCAAGAAATCTACGAAGAACTGCTCTTCGCAAGAACTTTGATAACCGACACTAAAGGTGAATCAATATTTCATGTTTTGAAGGATTACTTCATTGAAAAAGCAATTCCTTTATCAAATATAATATCATTAGCTACAGATGGAGCACGTGCCATGGTTGGACGTTATCGTGGATTTATAAGCTATTTAAAACAAAATGTGTCAGGGGTGTTAGCAATACATTGCGTCATGCATCGACAACATTTAGTTGTTAAAAATTTGAGTGTTAGATTGCATGAATCACTTCATTTAGTCATTGATGCAGTGAACCGAATCCGAAGCAACGCGTTGAATACGCGGTTATTTGCGCTGTTGTGTGAAGAAAATGACGAACACTTTCATCAATTACTCCTTCACACTGAAGTACGCTGGCTGTCGAAAGGCTTATGTTTGACAAGATTTTTTGCACTTTTTGAGACTATTTTAGAATTTCTGGATACTAAAGATAAAATTTTAAAAGAAAATTTAATGAAAAGGAAAACAGACATCGCCTATTTAACAGATTTGTTTACAAAATTTAATATGGTTAATCTGCAATTACAAGGCGTCAGTTTAAATTTGATTAAAACAAAATCCATCTTATCAGCGTTTCTTGCCAGAGTTAAACTAATGAAGCAAAATATTGGACGGGGCGAAATTTCTCAGTTTCCCAATTTGTCACAGACAAGCTGCCAGGAAGACGACGTTTCAACTTACGTTCAACATTTAAATGCCCTCTATTCAGATTTTGAATCTAGGTTTGAGGATATTTTGACTATGGTAATACCACCGTGGATAATTAATCCATATGGTGACATAGAAGAAACGAATGTCATAATACAAGAGGAACTGACTGAACTAAGTACAAACGAAGAACTTAAGGTTCAGTTTAAAAACGGATATCAGCAATTCTGGCTGCAAAACAACATACCTGTTACTTATCCCGTATTATGGAATATAGCGAGGAAATTTTTAATTTCCTTTCCATCGTCATACCTAGTGGAAAGGGGGTTCAGCGCTGTTACCAATCTCCTAACGAAAAAAAAGAAACAGACTGGACATCATTAGCCGAGGAGATTTAAGATTAACCCTTACAAAATTGACGCCAAATATTGATAATTTATTATTGAAGCATCAGGTTCATCCTTCTCACTAAAAATATTGAGTTATTGCTTATGTTATTTTATTTATAGTTTATTTTATGTTTATTGGTGTCTGACCAATAAATGCCCGCATTGGGAATAAGTGCCCGCATTGATTTTTTTAAAGAACCCCCCTTTATAGAAAATATTTTTTTTTATATTATTCTGAAAATTCAAGGAGGTACACACTAAAATTCGTTCATTTTTTGCCTATTTTTAGATAACTTAAACGTATAAGAATCGGAATTTAATCAAACTAACAGTGAAATTATTGTAGAACATACGTACATGTTATAATTAATAAACGAACTCGCTTATTGTACTATTTCAAGTAAAACACTTTTTTTTATTATTTTTCACTTTTTTTTTATTTTATCCCTCTTATTTTTTTTCAATGCGGGCACTTATTCCCTATGCGGGCACTTATTGGTCAGACACCTGTTTATTTAATGTTACGTATATTTTACATAACAGATACAAAATTTTATTTTGAGTAGTTTTAATTTAAATTCAATTAATAAATGTATAAATTAACATGTGTTTTTACTTTAAGTTTTTAACAGTAAACTTCAGTACAGTTAGAAATTTACAGGAAATCAATATCAGGTAAGTAGGGGGTCTACCCAACACGGAAAAACATGGCACGCACAAAAAAGTTTGGGGAACTCTGGTTTAGTTCTACCAACTGATGTTTTGCATAGCCAAACATTTCAATATTCAGCTTAAACTGTGTTGATTTTGTCCGACTGGTTTTACGTTACTCCTAGCTAACTTTGTTATTGTGCAAAAAGTCATTAAAATTGGTTCAATACTGGCGGAGACATGTGATATCAAAGATTTGGTGCGTTCAGATAAATCACCCTGAATATCCGTAGAAAATGAGTTTACAACTTTTTCTATTTTCAGACATGAAAAGGCATCGGTCAATACTATCTGCCATTTCTATATGTCCATTTTTAAGCCCGGAACCTCAAGTATGAAAAATATCATCAAGAAGGTTGACTCTGCACTTCCAACGCACGCCATATAATTAGTCCATAGGTACGCGACCGTCTGCCGATATTTTTTAGTTTTAAGGACTAATGTATGGAAAAATCTATGATGTGTAAAATATGTGTATAGGTGCGTAGGGCTGCCAAGGTTGGGAGCGTATAAATGTAATATCAAATTAATCAATATCAATTGAGATAAACCCTCCATACCCCCTACAACGCCTACCACAAGTTTTTTGGCTCAATTTTCAAAATGATCAGGATCGTCTGAGAGCAAAAAACGAAGTTTGAGCGATTTTCATTCATTTTCATTTTTTGACTTTTTCTCCGCAGCCACTGGACCGATTTTTGAAAACTCCAAACCTTTTGCGTCCTTGGCATAGTAGTAACATTGTGTAAAAATTCCATCGAAACCCGAGCAGTTCTTCTCGAGTTATAGGCGATTATAAAATGTGCAGACAGCCCGACGAGAATGTGCGACATGGTTTTTCGTGATGTAAATGCCATCTAACATCCAAAAGACATATATCATTTTCGAAAATTTGCGACTACAAAATTTCCCCGCCAGTAGGCGTGGGAAGTAAAACGGAATTGTCTAATGGTAATGTGTCCCCTATCTACACCATAATTTTGCACTAAAGACCACGTGAAATATTTTTATTCCAAATATAGCATGTCTGTGTATAGCAAAGATTTACATGAGCATGTAGGTTCTTACCAGTAAATGATCCCCGCCAGGATGGAACGAGAATGCTTTGATTGGTTCAGATTCTGTGATAGTCTTGAAAGCTTTCTTCACGCTTGCCTTAGAGATGTCAAACAGCTTTATGGTACTATCTTTGGACCCAGAGCACAATACAGGTTCCTTAGGATGGAATTCTAAGCAAGTGACTTCTTCCATGTGGTCGTATAATGTCCGAATTACAGGATGGCCCTGCTGTTCACCTCTGCAAATGGATTGGTAAAAAATGTAATCACAATGATTATTCAATTCCTGTGATACATCAATTTAATCGTTTAAAAACTTACCTAGAAGGATCCATTTCATCAGGCGCCGACTTTGCCAACATCCTGTCTACATCCAATATCTTTATGCTCGCATCAACACTGCCTGTTGCGATCAACTGTCCATCTGCCGAGAAACAGCCAGCACGACAGTTGCCTTTATGTGATGTCACATATGCTGTTTCGTATAGTGCTGGCTCAGGTGCTGGCACATTTGATTCTGTCTCAAACTCCAAGTCTACAATATGAATTGATCGTCAGGTAAAGTTGATTTTTCCTATAGAATATGCTAATTTGTTTTTTTACAGCAAATGTCTAAAAACAATTATGTCATGAGGCTTCAGTTATCAATGTTTGGCTCTGATGTAATGTAAAATCTGCTTCAGAGATGGCGTTACTGGAGGTCTAAGCTATAAGTTGTATGGGTTGATGATAATTCCATTGGATTCTTCTCTCAAATACACTTGAGATTCAAAGCTAGAAATTAGTTGCGCATCCACTTTTTCTCATCCATTCCGGGAATTACATATGCAAATTTGCTGAATTTTAAAAATGAGATAGATAAGAAATAATTATATTCACTGTACACTGTCGGATTACAAAGCATATACATGCTAACAGTAATTACACACAACGCGGGCGCAGCGGTGATTTCCCGTAATTCTCCATTTCTACCCCGATTGCTATTCAAATCATGTTCTCCACAATCTCTTCCAAATATTATGAGTTGAACCAAAAAACTATTACTTTCTAAGCAATATCGAGATAACGTTTATAAAGATGTTTCTATACTGGTCGCGGCGGCGAACGTGACTGTCCGTGGCTGTGACGCGCGGATTGTCGAAAACCTATGTCATCTTGCGTACTAGGTAGTTTTAAGGGTGCAAACAGTCATTCCACTTTTGCTCACTAGGATCGTTGTGAGCGTCCATCTATGGAGGAATACCTCAACTACACGCACTGTTGGTTGCATATGTTTTATGAAGTCGAGAAATCTGTAGTTTTCATCTCTGAGAAGAAAGTTGGTTGAATAGCAAGATCGCATCTGGATGATTATGGGTATTGGTCTGCACATGTATCAAATCGGTGATATTTGCTGTGTGAAAAAATCATTACTGAATATGCTGCCAATGAAGTATATCTATTAGCTGTGCCCGACGGGTTATTTGTGTTGCGCTTTCTGAAGAGAGGTTATGTTCAAAGTCATAAATTGCGAAAAACTTTGAGGAGAATTACGCGAAATCATCACCACTCCCGCATTGTGTGTAATTACTGTTAGCATGTATATGGCTTACAATTCGACAGTGTACAGTGAATATAATTATTTCCCATCTCTCTCATTTTTGAAATTCAGCAAATTTGCATATGTAATTTTTAGAATGGATAAGAAAAAGTGGATGCGCAACTAATTTCTAGGTTTGAATCTCAATTAAGTGTATTGGAGACAATGGAATTATCATCAACACATGCAACTTACAGCTTAGAGCTCCAGTAATGCCATCTCTGAAGCAGATTTTACATCACATCAGAGCCAGACATTGATAACTGAAAACTCATGATGTTTATGCAACACGTACTGTGCTAAGTAACCATCTTGTCGAAAAAACCAGTATAATGTCGAAAAAATCGATATAACGTCACTTTTCAAGATACGTAATACCCGTGTGGGTCCCAAGATATAGGCCGTCCAAGTCAGTATAATGGGTTTATGGTTCTACTCGAATATCTGCTTTTAATGGAAGAGTGGTTTCAGTTAATTGTGCTGAATGTTATGCCTCAAATATATGCTTTAAGTGAACGAGTTGGTTCGGTTAATTTCGCTAATGTTTCTGTGTTATCTCTCTTCACCATGATCAAATGCCTTGATGGGCAGAGTCCCCAAAACTCAACTGTTGAAAAGATATAATAATAATAATTATCTTTATTAATCATAGAAAAAATACACAAGTATTCATAGACATGTCAGTATTGAAAAAAGAAAAGTGCAGTATCATAGACATAAAAGTACTCTAACTATATTAAACTCAATATACAAAAAGACACTAATATGATTTTACAGAGTCGAGCAAAATGTCAAGAACATTATAGGCCATCCAAGTCGGTAAAATGGGGTGTAGGATTTACTCAGCAATCTACTCTATCTAGAAAAGTGGTTTCAGTATCGTGAACAAATGTCTCAAAGGACACAGACAATTGGAATTACAGCCCGTTTCGATTAAGATTACAAGTCCATTTATAAGTTTCTCAGCAAACTTATTCGGAGGGAGCATGTCCTACATTTGAGAGATTTACTAATTAATCGTGGGCGGCTTAACAGAGACATCGCAGGCCTCTTGAGGGTTAGAGTTTACTGTCGATTCGCTAGTATTGTGGTCTCTTGGATTGTATTGGAATCAACGGCATATAAAGTACCCTAATACAATGCTTCTGCGAATCAGTGTGAATTTAGCAGTCAAGTTCCAGCAGACAATTTCCTGAAAATACCCGTCGTTCCAGAAGAAATAATATGGTCTTATAACCCTAGTTAGGGTATATGAGTACATACAAAATACAAAAAGAAACAATTACAGCAAAAAAAAAACGGGTGGACCAGCAGCAGAGTCAACGATTTAAATAGTTTTAGGGCTCTAAAGAGGATACATGAAATTTCTCTGTTACATATGAGATGTGTAGCCAAATTAATTCAGTTTGGCAAAACAAGAATCGAAAGTGTCTTAACCAAGCTTTTAGGCAGCATACTTCTAGATACCGTATGTTTTTTGGCAAAACAGGAATTACTGTTCATTTTGAAATGGATGACTCTGACAATAGAGGAAATTACAGGGAATTGTTAACATTCATTGCCAAAAAAGATCAAAAATTTTACGAACATCTAGAAATGTCGACTGTTTTTTCGGACGGCTTGGATTAGTCATAGCATAAGACGATGAGATATATCAAGTGCCCCAGACCCTCAGTCCAGGAATGAAATAAACTTTTTTTAATAAGATTTTTCACATCTGGTTTTGCTAACAGTGTAGGAAAAGTCACGTGTCGCCACTGCGAGTCACACTGAAACTACTTTTCCACCCATATTGATTACTTATGCTTGAAAAGTGTCTCTTGGAGTTTTTTGAATTTTCAAAAAACCATAAAAAAGGTTGTTGTACTGGTTAATAAAATAATTTTTACCTAAAAAATAGTATATCTAAGTGAAAAACATCAAGAAGTAGATTTGAGTAGAAACAATCTAGCGTTGAAATATTGACTACTAACATTTTTGACATAGGCTAGTGGTGTTTTGCTAAATTATAAGACTTGTCAGAATGAACACCTCTCATGTAAGTGCTTCGGAAAACAATATTGCATATCTTAGCATGACCTGACATAATACAGGTACCCACCCAAACTAAACCATACTATCTCTGTTTTTGAAAAATGTAAAGTGACCTATGAAACAAACAAGATTAAAACTATGACAATCAAGGAGGCCATAAACACGCCCTACAATTGTAGGGATGACTGACGATATGGGCCTAAAGGATAACAACTTCATTTAAAATCGCATATCAAAAACGGATACATATTTAAAGAGCTGGTTATGAGAATCCTCGATTCCATAATTCATATATGTTAATGTTCCACAGCACCTTTCATGAAGTGTTTCAGTTGTTACTAAGTTTGCTCATCAAGTTTATTTGCATTTTTACCCCTTCAGTAAGCAAGACTTTTTTTGGTGGGGACAGATGTTTTAAACTTCACCCTTTTACATAAATGTGCAGCAGAGGGTATGTTTTTTCTCCAATGGTTTGGTTGTGACCAACTTTTAATGAGCTGAACCTACACTTCAATTCTCCTAACATCCATATCTCATTATTCTAAATATCTAAATGAAAAGAGGAATACCTCTACTTACCTAGTCCAGGGCCAATTTGGCTATTGCCAATGCCAATATGAGGCTGTGGTCTTTCTTTGTAGCTAGGCTCATGTTCCAAGCCAGTAAGAACCAAATGGAATAATCTATCGCTAGGTGCTGCATTAGGCTCAGCTTGAACAGCTTGCTGGAGTGACTGCCCAATACTTTGGTGCCCATCATAGAAAAGTTGGCTAGAACCAAGATTCATCAGGTTAGGATATCATGGAACAATTATTTGTACTAAGATAGTTTATGTATTTACAATTGTTATACTTACCTTATTATAAGCTTGTATAGAAACTCCCTGGTTTTGATCAAATTCGTGGTACATGGGTCTTCATCTTCTCCATTAGAGGAATTGTTCAAGGGAGGATTTGTCATTTTGTCAGTTGGCTACCAAATACCAATTTTTGTCAAATGTTCACTGCCAGGGTAAAACAATTTTCGGCGTCTTGGAAAAGAAAATATGTGAGGTTAGCCTCACAAAACATATACACCACAAATACAAACCATATACACTGAAAGAATGCTTACTCAGTGAAGTTCAACCAGCAGCCAGCAGCACGTATGTCGCCATGTTTTCGTGGTGATAGCACAAATATGACACAGAAAGAACGCCTGCCTACTCAGAACAATTCGACGAATGACATATGCCGCCATGTTTCTTACAATGACATACGGCAGTGCTCTCATGGTTGCCTTCTTTCTCACCACATCTGTCACTCATTGTCATATGTAAGCAAATCCAAGCGAATAACCAAAATTTCTGTGTTATGTGCCGCGGTTATAATATGGTTCAAGATGACACACCACACGGGTTGATGATGTCAGTTACACGAATCGCTTGAACGCGTTGGTTTTAACCGCGGTTTTGTTGCAAGTTGTTTATTTTATCACTTAATAATCTGTGCTTTTTTGTCTACAACGGTGTATGGAAAGATTAAATAAGAAACCTTTCATAATATTCATGAGAGAAATGTTTTTTTTTTCAGAAAAAATTTTTTAATGATGGGACCATGGTTTTGTAGCTATGATAACTTTCAATTCTCTAAAGTTTTCCGCATGTCAAAGAAAACATTTATTGATTTAGCTGAAATGATGAAAAAAGATATTAGCAAAACCGTATACAGGTGGACATCATCCAGTGAGTTAAGTGGCCATATTTTAATATTCCTGTAGTATATAGCTACACAGGATACTTTGTTAAACATAGGAACTAGATTGAAAGTGTTCTCAACAACAGAAATGAGTATAACTAATAAGGTGCTCCACTTTATGCTAACACTGAAGTCGGCCTGTATCAAGTTTCCCAAAAATGAAGCTGAAATACAATAACAATATCCAATACGCGGCAAAATTCTGACTTGTGATATTTCAAATAATAACCAGAAATATAAAACTACTCCTGAGTTGGGTAAATACCACTATTTTGCGCAGATAACTCTGACATATAACAGCTGATTCATGACGTCACGGATCTTATAACCAAACTGATAACCACACTCGCTTGAACGGATCGGTAAATACCAACCCAAAATGGTAAATACCATTTTCATTTGGTTATCCGCTTGAATTTGATTTTTATTTGGTTGTTTTGAATGGTTTTCCTAATAAAAATTAATTTTGCATTACAATTCAAACACCTCACGTGTATTTGTAATTGGGTTGGTTCAAGATTGATAAATAAAACAATATAATTGGGAAAATAACTTTATTTTGCAATATAGTAGAATGAAGAATCAGAAACCCCATGGGAGGTTTCTGAATAATAATTTCAATATACGATCATAAGGAAACTACAAAAAACCCATGATACCACACTCAACAAAAATTCAGTAACAAAAATATTGTGAAATCTGTTTCTAAAGGGTACAAGATTTCGTTAATCAAACATGATATACTTCTGAATAAACATTAATTTGCAAAATTGTACATATTAGATTTATTTCCCATGAGTAAAGCCTGTATGTATATGGTACAGGCCATATATAGTAATTTAATAACAACATAGAATTCTAAAAAATAAAATAAAACAATTCTATCAGAATATGGTAAAAATGTCCTGGTCAGGAATGTCACAGCCGGGTGTGTGATGGTTCATCCATGGAGGTACATGAAATAATTAAAAAACCTGCAGCAAATAGTCGAAAATGATTTATCTGGTGGCATTCAACTTTTTCATTTTCCTTGAATGATCATCAGATGATACAGTTTTACATGGATAACATCTAGTAGATGACTTATTGGTCTAAGGCCCGTATCGTCAGTCGTCCCTACAATTGTAGGGCGCCTTTATGGTCTCCTTGATTGTCATAGTTTTCTACTTCTCTGTGTCAGCGCTCTATTTTGAGGTTATGTCACAAACATCTATTTGCATCAAATTGTGCTTGCTTTTGAGTTATATCATGTTTTATCAGACTGAAATTTCCTACAATTTAAAAAGAAAACATATCTTCACAATAGGAGAGCGCTGACGCTGACACTGGACGGGTGCAATCTAGAAATTTTTGAAGGAGAGAAAGAAGTATGACAATCAAGGAGGCCATAAACGCGCCCTACAATTGTAGGGACGACTGACGAGTGACGATACTGGCCTTAGTTTCTCATTTGCATAAATATATCAGCCTCTGCTTGTTGCCCCGTTTCCTGTGTTGCGCCTTGTCAGACCTCAGTTGACCCCATGTGTGACCAAAATCGCTTATCTATGACCATGGAGGTGAAAACGTGGTAAAAACCTCAACTTGGAATGTACGAGATGCGGTGTTGCCAAGCAAACCAATGAGATAATGTTGCAGAATTTGTGGTTTTGACAGTAGTGTGGAAAAAGGGAGTAACCCGCTTTTATTTGACATGAGATTATCGTTTAATATTTCCAATCTGAAAACTTATTAACACGCTTTTATAAGCTTGGCCTGTATGTATGTATGTATGTATGTAAAGGGAATCTTTGAGCATAATTTCCACCAATTTCCAGAAGTTAGATTAATTTGAAACGTCGCACACGTATCAAGTACCGATTACAATGCAATAATTTCAACAGTTTTCCTTTATCCTTATTAGGACCGCCAGGATTGATAAATTCTGTTGTAGATCCTCTGTAGGGGAGTAAGGGCCGTATCGTCAGTCGTTCCTACAATTGTAGGTCGCCTTTATGGCTTCCTTGATTTTCATAGTTTTCTACTCTCCCGTGTCAGCGCTCTAGTTTGAGGTTATATCACAAATATCTATCTTCATCAAATTGTTCATACTTTTGATTTATTTCATCTGTTATATAGCCTGAAATTTCCTAGAATTAAAAAAGAAAACATAGCCTGACAATAGGAGAGCGCCGACGCTGATACGGAACTAAAGGCGTACTACAATTGTAGGAACGACTGACGATACGGTCCTAAGAGAGAGCTAGCGCGCGATCTGCGCATGCGTGCAGTTTCCGACTTACTCTTTGTTGGTTAGAGCATTCGACACAGCACAACGGAGGCAGATACTTTTTCAAAGTAGTGCATTCTCACCTTGTTTATTGCGAATGTTGCCATTAATCCAGAGTTGGACTTCGACCGTTCACAAGATGCAAGATTGTACAATCGATTATACAGTCATTTATCTAGGCTCGCGTCTGTTTGCTGCTGGACAAGCTTATGTAGCACTTAGTCGTGTAAGATCTTTAGACGGTATTCGGATTGAAGAACTTGATTGAAGTTAACAAGAAAAACTCCATGCAATAGTGAAGCTTCAAATGAAATTATAAGATTACGAAATGATTCGTAAGACATTTCAATATCACATGTCCACATAAAACCACATCAAGAGTTCCAGCGCAATATATTCAATGTTGCATAAGTAAGAAACCGAATAGTCGATGATAGTTCATCAAAAAATCGTCAAACAAACTGATAAATAGAAATTTCGCAAAATAGCTCAGATATCCCACCTTAATGTTAACGATTTGTTGAAGCTCCTCTGATCGCTACACATTTGTTAAGTCGTCGCGGCATTGATTGGATTGGGTGATTGACGTCTTCTTGGTGTATTGTATCCCAGGCCATCTGAATTTGGTTTCGTAAAGCCTCCATATATGTCCAATGGGGCAAAGGTCTGGAGGTCGAGGAGGCCACTTAATCGGATTTACTCCGGACGCTTCTAAAAAGTCTTAACTAACTCGTGCGACATGAGGTCGTGTTTTGTCCTGCTGAAAAAGTGGATCTTGCAATGTCTCCAAAAAGGGAAGCAGATGTAGTTGTAAAACTTCGTGGATATAGCGCTGGGCATTCATGCTACCTCAAATAAACACTAACCGTGACCTGCTGCCGTAAGCAGTGGCACCCCATACCATAACACCCACAGTGCGATGAGTATGCCGTTCGATGGAATATTGGACGTTTCGTCTTTCACTACCTCTTCTCCTTACTCTTGCATGGCCATCATGTGTGCCCAAACAGAATCTGGACTCATCGCTAAACACGGCTGAGTTCCATTCCATATTCCATTCAAGACTCTCCCTACTCTATACCAATCGTTGCCGATGATGCTGTGAAGTCAGAGGTAGTACAAGATGGGGACGGTATGAAAACAGCCCAAAAGAACTTATTCGCCGATAAACTGTCCTCATTGTTGTTCCGACAGCATCAAGCCCTTGTTGTGCAAAATAGATCTCTAAGTGCTAGTTGCCTCAAACAACGATCCTGTCGCACTGTGGTCTGCCTTTGACGTCCAGTACATCTAACTCGTCGATTTCGGCCTTCTTGGAACCACGCTTGACAACATCTCATTACGGTAGCTTCGTTTCGATTCATCCGATTAGCAATTTCTCTAAAAGAAAATCCGGCTTCACGTAACCAGGTTATCCGACCCCTCTAAAACTCGTAGACCAGCCGAAATAATTATTTGTGACCAAAGAATTCCATGGGCATATCAAGCAAAATATTTAGGACTAACAATCGACGCATGTCTAACTTGGAAATCTCATTAGAAACGATTAGAACAAAGGCTATAATTACATTTCGTAATTTATACCCCATGCTCAAGGGTACTACAAAACTGAGGTTAACTGATAAACTGGTATTATACAAATTGATTATACGTCCAACTATAAGCTACGCATGTGCAGTTTGGTGCTTTGCTGCCAAGATCCACATTACAAAATTGCAAGTGATACAAAACAAGGTAATACGAACAATATTGCATGCTCCTTGGTATGTATCTAATGAGACCATTCATCATGACCTGGATATTCCTTTCTTGTCTCAATTCATTAAACAAACTGCAAGCAAAAGTTACGAACGTCCAAATTCACATTCAAATCCTTTAATAAGAGATGCTGTGACATATGATCTTGCATCCATTCACAAACACAAAATACCTAGATTAGCACTTCTTTAACAATCTGAACATCTAAAACTATGATTTACTCTTTATTTCTTTACATTGACTACTTTTTTCATATAATTTTCATAACTGTATAATCTATCTTTGGCATTTTTTGTTACAGAGATTTGCTTTTCTGTCAGTTAGAACCTCAGTAATTTTTGAACAGAAGAAGTCAAGTCAACTCAGAAGACCTTTTTTTAAATGCCCATCATAAAATTTATACAACAGTCAGCATGTGGCGTTTGTGCACAATCTGACAAGCATGTCCATGTGGCATCCAGAAAAAAAGGCGCTTGACACTGTCATAAATAAACGTTGTCCTGTGGATACCACGTGACTGAAGCTTTTTCAGTGTTTTGTGGTGGAAAGCTTATGTGACTTAACCGCCCGTAAATTCTTTTTTTCTGTTTTGTGAGCTTGTGACAGGGGGGTGAAACGTCTTATGGGCGAACTGGCAACACCAAGGTCATTCTCTCCTGGCATAAAACACATAAATCTCCAGGCAAAATCTAGGACACTTTCTTACCAACAGAGTTTGATTTTTGACAAACGACAGTTCCCTGGGAACTTACATTTTGTTTTCAATCTGTGTTTTGAATGGGGTAAGCTGCACATTAAATTTTTAATTATTGATTTAATTCCCAAGCGAGAAATTATCGTTCATAATCTTCATATAATAATACTACTAATAACCTTTGTCATATATTTTTCAATGTAAAACACTTGTGATTGTGTGCAGGAATACTTAAGATTGCATACTTCAATAAGCTTGTTTTTCTTTTGTAAATCAGTTATGCCTGGATTTGGGTTTGCCTCTTCGTACATTGCTACTTTAAAGTACTCATGCAAATATCCTTCTTGCAAAAATTCCTATTTCTACATTGTTCGGAAATCTGCTTATATATACAAAAATGAAGTATTCCATCGTTTTACAAAAGATGAAAAAACTGCTGCTTCATGGAAGGCAGCTTGTAAGATATATCTCTAAAGTTTCCAATTATTATGTTTGTGAAGATCATTTTTCAATGTTTGATCGTAATAATCCACAAGATCCTTCACGTCTCAGATATCTTACCATACCAATGTCCCCCAATAGTTTTAAATTCAAATAATAGTCATCCTACTAAACCAGGTCCCAGTTCAGTATCTAGAGTTTTATTCAATGATCCTCCTTCTGGAGAGGCTACCACAAATCCAACCCCTTCCAGTGTTATTCTGGAAGATCAAAACATTGAAATCAGTGGAAGTGGTTCTAGAACAGAATCTAATTATTTAGATAAATATTCTTTTTTGTTAGAGAAGGGCTCTGGCATATTAATAAAATCTGGTACATCAAAGAAGGAATTGAGCTCTAAGGAATCAATTCTGTCTAAAAGTCCACCAGAATGTTTGCTCAAGGCTATCCAAATTAAAATCAGTTTTCATTGTCGCTTGTGTTGACAAATCAAACTATTTCGAATTTGTTGAAGGCTGGCAAATAACAATTAGATCTGTTATTTCACTGTGGAGGGATCTTATGGAGAAGGGCTTGAAATATCTTTGTTTGAGAAATTTAAATCAAGATTCGCTGGAAAATTTATTTGGTCAAGTAAGACAGCATGGTATCTTCAATACAAATCCCACCTGTCATCAGTTGTTGCTGCCTTAAAAACAGTAGTTATTAATAATTTCAGCACACCTTTTTCTAAAGGTAATTGTGAAATCGATTTTTGTGATACTTTGGTCGACTTCTGTGACTTTTTGGATAAATATGACCAAAGTAATGATACAGTGCTTGATTTAGACCTTGGGATTCTAAGTGACCCTGACATGGAAATAATGGACAGTTCTGTTGAATGGAATCCTTCAAATGGTTATGTGGCTGGGTACATTTTGGACAGACTCAAAATTGATAGTAATTGTTAATCCTGTGCAAGGTTATTTTCTTCGGTTGTCACTGAAAAACATCTATTTGTGACATTTAAAGAGCATGATGAGGAAAAACAATTGAAGTATGGAAGTGAAGATTTAATTAACGTGATTGGTCTTCTGGATGCAAAGCTGTATGCATTTTTAGAGCAGCATAGTACAGAAGACCAACTGGAAGTTAAATTTAAACAGAAGTATTCCTGCATCCTTCAAAATTATAGCTTTTGTCAGCAGCTTCATGTGGCAAAAGGTATAATTGAAAAAACTGCTCGGTTGGGAATTTACAAATATGTAAAGAGAAAGTCTTTGAAAAGGAGTGGTGACACTACCAATAGTCATATATCAACAAATAATAAATTCAAGACAGCTAAAGTCAGGTAATGCTTTTTTATGTAGTCCAGCACTCTTCATTCATTGAATTTTATATTAACTTTCAGTAACCAAATACTACTGTGATAATATACCTAAACAATATTTTTTTGTTTCATAGTTGCAGCATCCTTGGAAGGGAGCAGTTGGATGAAGAATAATTATTTATTTTGTTACTCCCTGTAATGTTAAAACCATCAGGAGCTTTTGGTTTTAAGTATGAGGAATGTCTTGTTTATTTTTAACTTTGATTCCTTCTTTGAAGAAAATCTTCCTCATTTTTACACTATAAAAAATAATGTTTTTATTCAAATTATATTTTTATTTCAGTTATTTATTGAACTACAGAGATTTGTTTTTTGTTGTTGTAGTATAAATGTTTATGTTTCAGTGATAAATATACCTCATGATTGGTTAACAATAGGTAGTGCTTGCTAAACACGTCCTTTGATTACTGAGGGTCCCTTTTTATCGTTTCTTATGCTACTAATGTATGATTTGTATTTTTTTTTCTTGAAACATCGCTTATTCACTTAATAATATAGAGAAAGCTCCGGATGTCTAAAAATACCTTTATATATTGTCAATGTACTGTGATGATAAATTATTACTAACTTATTATTATTCATATATTTCAGGTATTTCCTTTATTGAGGATATTTTATGGGTGTATGCTCATAAAATATTTCTTCAATATGGGAAATATCACTTTCAGCAGATTTTAAATTGTAAACAAACTAATTCCTCGGCACATTCCTAGCATTCCTAATCTCCCGGCGCATTCTTTGAATTCCTTCAATAGTTCCTCCAGATCTCCAGGCAAGTAGGCGGCGCAACCATCTGACAAAACGTCAACGGTCTTGCCGTTGTTTAACGTGCAGCTCCCACTTCTTCAGTCTTATGTGTTCTGTGGCTTGTGACATAAATGTCAATAAAAGAAAATAAATCTCTTTTTGAATTTTGATAAACATGTGTGATAAACATTGAAGTTGGAAAAAGATAATGTACTGTATATTTACGCGAAATGGGTACCTCTCACAAAGATGAAAAAGATGTCATAGGTTCGTTTTGAGTAGCTCCTATAATCAACCTTACTAAATACCTTTATTTCAGATTATAGAATCATCAACATACTTGTATATTTCTCAGTGATAGTAGTTATTGGAATTCCAATCTGGTGGTATACAACTAGAGTTTACAGAGCACATCTTCCTTTAGATGAAATCTTACATAAAGAAACACTAGGCATAGGCAATGAAACATTAGGTTTACCATTGAGTTTAGAGTATGATATCCTTATAACACTTGTGAACCCTGAACCTGATCAGTTAAATGTTGATTTGAATGGAGAGAAACTAAGCAACCATTTGAAACCATTTCTGAAGGAAGTCTCTGCAATAAACAAATTTGAATTCAAATCACAGTGGTTGTTTTACACTGAGCTTGGCTTGTTGCCTTCAAAGGTAGATGATTATTATGTACTGTCTGAAAGGCAGCTTCCTCATATCATCACACCATTAGAAACAAAGCTTTGGTCACATCTGTCCTCTAGACCTACAGTAAACTTTATTGTGTATTTTGCACCTTGTGGCAAGCCTCTAACTATCGATAATGAGAGAAATAAAAGTCAAGTTAATGCTTTTGTAAGTCCAAGGTGGGGTGGTATATTGATTATGAATCCTGACAAAAGTGCTTGCAACTCCAAACAGTTCCAGCCAGATAGTCAGTATATTGTTTCTACTTTTGTTACACAAGTGATTCAACTATTCAAGATAAAATCCTTTAATGAAGAAGATATTATGCAGTTTAAGATAGAAAGGATTAAAAAAATGGTTCAGTCCACACACAGGACTCTGAAATCATTAGCCCAATTGCTCACAGAGATTAGTAGAATAGTCATAAGTGATGAAGTGGGACAGAAAATCAGCATAGCTGTTGATAATGTTAAATTAGCTGAAGAGTATCTGAGAAAAGGTGAAGTAGAAGAGTCTTTAAAACTTGCCAAAATTGCTTTTTCTACCTCTGAGTCAGCATTTAGTGATTCATCCCTCTTGGCATTATTATACTTCCCAGAAGATCAAAAGTGAGTAGCATCATCCATTGATCAAAGACTAATTTCACATCATGACATCAAAGGAAATAAAATCATGTTTTACAAAATTCTTCCATTCAACTTTCTAAGCTAAATGCTAAAATAATTAGTAATTTTATACAAAAAAAATGTTTTAGGTATGCTGTTTATATTCCCCTATTCTTACCAATTATGATACCAGTATTCATGTCACTTGCTACTCTTAAGAATTGGTGGAAGAGTAGGAAGATGAAAACTCATTAAATCAAACAAGTAAGTATATCATACATTTCTAAAAACAGGTGATCATACTTGAATGAAAAGTATTCTTCAAAATCTCACTTTTAATATTAGTATCCCAATCATTTTCTCTTTTAGCACTTGCAGTAAAATGTGACTGAATTGAAACATTTTAATTGATATTTCCATTTTTTTTTTTCAGAGATCTTGCTTTCCTGTGAGATGAAATAATTTTTTTACTATTCATGATACATCTACAAGTATAGTATAAGAACAGTAATGAGAACAGGTAAAAAGTAATGAAATGGTGGCATGTGGCTCACTTCTCTGATTTCTGTGAACTTACAAGTTTTTATATCTTACATGTTTTGTGAATTTTTACCAAACATTTCGATATTTTCTTTGTTGCATTTATAAAGTACCAATAAGTAAGTCTTGTGTAAAACAAATATGAATGTATGATAACCATTGTGCCATTATGGCATAATTATAAAAAAGACACAGTTTAGATTTTTTATTCTCCCAAGATCCCTTACTGTCTCACAAATCTTTGTGGATACCATAAATGAACCAAACTTGAACTGTGTAATCATAGTGAAGGAAAAAATCATGAATAATGTGTGTTGACTGTTATCAGTTTTAGAAAAAAATATAAAATAATTTTGGCAAATAAACTGCAGTGCAGCATTTTTCAAAAAAATTATTTTTATGGAATCTTAAATTGCCTCTCAAAAGTATGTCTATATTCTGTATGTTATTCTACGAACGAAAAATAGGAAAACTTGTCCAAAGCTCATAGGTAAAGCTTCGTGCCAAGTGTTGATGTAATAAGATTTTCTATGCATTGTCCTTGCTTCTGCTATGCAGGTTTTAGGCTTCCATCAGAGCTGCTTTCCAGCGACCCTGTTGACTTACTCTGAGTAACTCAGTAGTGACTAGCACCAATACTGTTCCACTGCATGTTGTATTCTCATGAATTGTTTCTGGAGCAGTTCGGGAGCGTATCACCTTCAAACCGAAAACTACTGGAAAGCAGCTCAGGTATGAGGGAAATAACCTTTATTATCTGACAGCAGTTTGACCTTAAAAATATGGTCCTGTTCTATTAGTTTCAGGATAAAAAATGATTAGTTGATTGTTTTGCTGGGTGATAGAATTTAAATGAGTTTTGGTGTATGAAATTCATTTTTTTTTCAATGCACAAAGAGAAAAACAATGGTGTAAAGACTGTAAAGCATCATCCTCGAAATTAAAAATATAAACAATTTATTTCAGCTGTTGTATAGGTAGTATGTGTAGGTATAGAATTCGCCATTCTCTACTGTATCTGAAGAATTATATGTTCTTTTTCTTCGACTTCAAAGTCGTTGGATTGAACAAATTAGTTTCACTAGTTTATCCTTGTTATGAACTAGCAAGCCAGTAACACTTTATACACTCTATTATGCTCGAGGGAAGGGCTTACCCAGCTCAAAATGGAAGGGAACCTTGAAAAATTGTTTTGGTGGAAGCTCCACAAATCATATCTACATAACTATGCTTGATATTTTTCTTTCTACTTGCATTTCATTTTTTATAAAACTACTATAGGATTGCTTTCTTGAAACATTCAAGCAACTATTTTTCAGTAATAATTTAGTCGTTTGCAATACTTGAAAGCAACACTTGAGATAGTATATGGAAAATACTGCTATACTGCAAATTTTATATATGTATTTTTTGGGCGTACATGTATGTCTCTCAAAATTCAATCAATATGTTCATTTTTTCAGTCAATGACAACAAAAACGATTTTTTAAATGGAACACCATACATCTTCTAGTATATTCTAGTATACCACGTCAAAGGGAGAAGTTTTGATCTGGCCGGCGATTATAGCATATTATATTAATTTCGGAAATAATTTGTCTTTCTCTTACAATATTTCCTTTGTATACGAAAAAGGCGACAAATTTTTCCGAAATCGTTTCTAATTTTTTCTGAATTTATTTGATATACGATTTCAAAATAAACTGCTCGTTGACAATGCCACTTTTTGATCTCTGCAAGGTGGCACAAATAGAACATTAATATGATTTTCCGTCTCAACTTCGATTTTCTTATGTATGCCATTTTTGCTTAGGCAAATATCTTTCAATTCTGATTTCAAATATTATAGCATGTAATACATTATTATAAAAAATTTCATAGAATATAAAAGATTATAACATGTTACGCATTGATATAAAACTACAAGTGCCAACGTCATAGTTAGTTAGAATTCATCGAATGAAAAACAACATAATGTAAGTCATATTATGTAAGGGTAATAGTGGAGACATCGAAAACGGTATTATTTTATGAAAGAGAGCTGAAACGTCAGATCGAACTTCTAATTATGCTACCGTGTAGCAAAGAAAACGTGGTAATGTTATTGTGTTTGGAGTTTGTAGGCAATGTGAATGTTTGAAAATTTTTCTTTCGGACCAAAGCCAGGTAAAAATAAAAACGACTTGAGAGTAAAGTCGGAAATACATTGAATTTCCAAACTGTCCAAGTTCCATTTCTTTATTTACATAGGCAACTTGCCCCCATAAAGTACAGCGCGTCGTTTAGGCGATTGTCACACGATCAGTATTTACTGTGATCTGTCAATATATTTATTGACCGTGTAGCCTAGACGTCCGTAATTATTGATGCATACGGAGAAATCCACTGTTGGTACGGACCACAGTAAATGTGTGACATTCGCTTTACCGTTTCCGAGATGCCAGAGGCGAGGTTTGAATTTGAAACACATCTATCATATACAATACTAACCCTAGTAATTTCTGCTGACAGACATCGAAAGGGTCTACAACTATATAAAAATAACGTTTTTCCAAATCCGTTTGTGTTTTTTAGTCAGACATGTTTTGCATCGTTTTCCAAAAAGATCCTCATGTATCCAGTTTTTGATCATCCTACCATGTGTTCTCATCCACGTTTTATAAAATCGAATTTTAGCACCAATCTCGCTGTCGCATTAAGTAACAAAATTTCAATCAATTGAGTATGGTTGCTATTTAATATTTTTTATTTTTGTTCCTGTTGATAACAGCATGGACTGTCCAAATCTTGAGTTGTTAGTTAAAAGAATACACTTTGCATAATTTGTCAATTTCCCCAAAGACGAGTCTTCCACTTAACTATACAGGGTGTTTCACAACTTATCCGACAAATTTTAACCACATGCACTGTTACGAAAGAAGTTGATTTCTCAAAAAAAATGTGATAAAAGTCCTACAGAAATTAAGTTATAAACCGCTAGCTTCAATAATAAATTGAAAAATAGATATCTGTATTTTGCGTTCATCGTCGTGATATTAGATCACGCATTAATAATTTATTGTAGCAAATGTACCAAACAACTAACGAAAACAAAATGCCAAGAACTTTTTTGTTTTTTCATACTGAATAATAACGTGTAAATAAGGTTTAATCTGCATCGTGGGGATCTGAATGAAGAACGGTCGGTTTTTGTGAAGTTAAATAAGAAAGTATTTTGCGGGTTTATGTTTGTAGTTATTTATTAATAAAAATGGCACATAACATATGTACACTATTGAGGAGTTACTGGACTTTGTTTTAGCGAACGGCTTTTCGTTTGTATGCACACCGATTTCCGAATAGGCACATACCATATCACGAAACATTTAGTTCAATTGTTTTACGTGCACGTGCTAGTGGAGTGGATGGGGGTCGGGATCGCCCACAACGCGTTTTAAATGCCGAAGACGAAATGTTGGATATTGTGAAAGCTGTTATAAGTAGGTCAACTGTTAAACTATATTATTTTATTATCTCGATTTCTGTAAAACTTTTATTACATTTTTTTTTTAGAAATCAACTTCTTTCGTAACAGTGCATATGTGGTTAAAATTTGTCGGATAAATTATGAAACACCCTGTTCAACTTCGAAGTTGAGTCATTTATTTTAACAGTGAGTAGATCTGACCAAAAGAAATGTTTTTTCCTTTAACATATATACAGGGTGTCCGCAAAGTTGGGGTTTTCCTTTACACGACGTGTAGATCTTGAAAACATATGCAATTTTTCTTAGTACCATATACACCAATGTCTTAAGGGAACCGAGATAAAGGGCTCTGCAACATCAAAAATATCTGAATACCGTCCTGTAGCCGCGACCCGCGATATCTCAGACTGGTACCGGCTACTAGCTGAACCCGACGACAGAACTGGGTCGGGGGTCGGGGTCAGTGTGTCAGGTCAGTATGCAACCTTCAACTGACGGTGAAGGGTCACGCGTATAGAGGTAACGAACCCGTATAATCGATTGGAGGAATTTCGAGGTGGGCACAGTGGGAGGCCTAGACAACCACGAATGGTGCAAGTTGAGGAAGAACTACTGAATCGCGTAGACGAGAATCCCTCAACAAGCACTAGAGACGTGGCTAGAGACGTGCAAGTATCAAAAACTAAAGTGTGGCAAACGTCCAACGTGAACAAGCCTTTCAACCTGACGATTTTCCAGCAGGGGTGCGGTTTTGTGAGTGGTTGTTGCATCAACATGACAATAATCTGGACTTTTTGAAGTGCATATTGGTGACAGACGAATCTACGTTCACGCGTAATGGGGTGAATAACTTTCGATTTCAGGCAGAGACGTACTTAGCCCTTCTCGTCAACTGGAGAGTGAGTACTTTTTCCTTTATTTTTTTTTTTACTTCGTCGCCCTCGTTTCACAACACATTACCTTTGTTATTTCAAGGGTAGTTGTTTTTGAAAAGGAAAACCCCAACTTTGCGGACACCCTGTATACATATATATATATATATATATATAGGGTGTAAAGTTAGTAGTGGATCAACGGAAGTCAAGTGATAGAGCGCCTCAAAACCTGTCGACTGAACCCCTATATGTGTGGTCCGAAATTTTATAGTTCAGGAGATACTTGCAATTTTGTGAAATTTCGAAAAAACAGGATAATGAACTTTCAATCGCAATTACAACTAAACCATTAGGTTTAGGGCTGTGATTTTTTTTTGGGATGATCTAAATGATTAGTTTTAGCAATGGATATGTCTGTATGAACAGAGCTTACTAGAAATCAATGCAAAAAAATCTTAAATTCATTTTGTTGTGAAAAATCTCTTCCATCCCTCAACTTTGGAGGGTGGTAAAAAATTGAGGTTGTATTTCATTATTCATTTTATTTTAAAAACTATTTCAATCCATGTAGAATAAACCCTGAAAATTTCAGCTTGCTACGATGAGTGTATCATGTCACATTCATTGTTGTGATGCGATAAACGTGAGAAAGGCAGTAGAATCCTTACCACCTACAATTACAGAAGCTATTGTATTTAGCCGCTCTTTACACAAGCGACACCTAATAAAATTGTCCTTTAGTCTTTGAAATGGATTTGCGTTTTCCATAATTTTTATTTTTGCTTCATAAATTTTTTGGCGCCGTTTGTTGACATGTGTATATTCAGATGTTTAGATTATCCCCTTATAAAACC